TAGAAAGCGCAGGATGATGCATGTTCAACGCAGGGGGTTCCATTACGATTGGCGACATTTTTTTTTATCAGACAGTAGTAAGATAGACAATATGTTGACTGTAACACGTTGAAACGTCAGCTGTTGTGTCAAGACCGCGGAAGCATGAGATCTCACTGATGCAGTACAGGTCGATGATGAATGATGCGTGGTCGACGTGGACGACGGTGAGGAGAAGGGTATTGTTGTGAGCGAAACACGTAGGGGGGGAGAGAAATAAACGGACAGAGGAGAGTCGGGCACCGCAGTGTTTATGATTTTTGGTATTGGCGGGAACCGATAAACCCAAAAGATAACGACCAAAAACTAAATCCAGCCAATCAGATTACACCTGTTTCAAAGATAACAAACATATTTCCTAATCATCCCTGCCCCCTCTCCGCAACCCTGGCTATGTTTTTTACTGAAATTTTTACCATTCATCCCTTCAGAGAAAGAAAAATATAGCAACAGGGCAGCAAGAGTTGCAAGTATTCTGTAGAATAATAAAATTTTATCGTTTGGGCGTCTATCATAAAAGATCAAATATTATTGCATTGTACGTATACTTTGTTCATGTTGACCTTGTGGCACCGATGCTCCCAGGGTCTTCCCTAATCTTATCTTAATTCCCATTCACTATTATTACCGTTTCCCAATTACAGATCATTCAAAGGAAGTACCTGGTCAATTTTCAGCGCCCGCGTCGTCACGATAGCCATGATTCTCACCTATTGCGTTGTCTCGCGCCATATACGCGAAGAGAAAAAAAACGTGGCGAAGCGTGTGGTCACGACACCGCCTACCCTATTATCACGACACCGGCGAAATTGTAGGTCGCGTCCGGACTGCTAAGAGTTACACTATGTGGCAGCATGCGTACGTCAAACGCATAAGTGTATACGTCAATTCCTAATAACCTTCCGGCGTTACAGATAAGATTCGCTGACTTTACAGAATTGAAAATTTACCTCCGTTCTGATCAAGAGTCCGCTCACCGGAAGAGCAGCGCTTCCTCGAGAATCTCGCCTTATCAGATAACGCGCATGCAACGTTTCGAACTATTCAAGTTCAGCACGCTGGCAAATAAAACATCCGTTACCTACAGCCTGAACCAAACCTTGTCTATGCATGGCCAATCACATCAGATGAAGCCTCAAATCAATCACGACGCATCCCTACGCCCAACACGAGGTTCCGCGCTTTCTCCAAATTCTTCCGCGGATTTCAAACGTAGCCTTCAGGGGGTTCCGGTGTCTTGGAATATCCTCGGCAACACTTGCCTTGTGTTCGCAAGCTCATCATCAGCCCTAGCACTAGGCTCTGGCAGCAGTTAATCTACTGGCTGCAGCTCTTGATAATTGACGCAAGATGAGTGGTGGAGGACGCAACATCGCGAGGCTAATTAGATCCATCATGCAAAGATGCATGCTGCACACCACCACAGATCTAGGACGGTGTCCTGGGTATGATCATGGAAAAATTAGTAAGGCGATGACGGGCTACAGATGTGCAGGCAGGACACAGCTATCCGATCGTGGCTGGTGCGCTCTAATCTGCTCACCTGTGAGGCTTTCGTGTTGCGTCGATTATGCTATGAGACAGTGTAAGTTTACGGAAACGGGGACTATCAAACTTCTCCTACCCTTTATCATTGAACTTTGGATGCAATGTTTTATCTCGACTCGTTTCAAACTTAGCTTGATCCTGGTGATTCGGATAGAGTCGAAGGCGGTGCATGAAGGTTCCGCAGTGCGACATACTCCATTCATCTTTGCAAATCGAAATTGTCCAATCGAGCGACGCAATCATTAGAACGCATGAACATTGCAGTTCGTCATAACGAACAAAGCCAGAATCTCTATGACCATATTTCCGAATGTCACAGCGTACACCACGCCCTCAGAAGCAGTCTCGAGATACCACCCCTGTCGGCGCTATGAGAACCCACGCATGAATAGCACCAGTCTGTCGAACCCTCCGCAGCAACGTCATACTACGATAACGGAACGGCAGCCGATAGTGTAGCGATAAGTGAGGGGCTAAGTGCGAAGCTGTTCTCGAAGCAAGGTGGATGCGTCATCGCACCCTGAGCACGTGGATCGCGGGGTGATGCAGTGATCCTGATCTCGTCAGTGAAGGGAGGCTTCAATGAAGCAGCACAAATGATCAAACATACTTAATCACATCGCTCTGTGGCACAACTGCGTGAGGATATCGCCAGAAATCGGAACGTCGGAAATGGTTATGGTTCGTGGATTACATATTGATGGTGGCCCATCTGGAACCTTAGACGAATGATATTGCACCTGCCTAGCTTGGATGGACATCGATGAATTGGACCTTTATGGGTGATTATGGCGACGAATCGATTAACGCCAAGTGATGTCCAGACCACAGTGTTGAGGATGTTCAAAGTGGGGAATTGTAATACAGCCTGGTGGTTTCGATTTCTATGGTAAGTGACTGCGAGTATTTACATAACTAAATTCAACCGACCCCGCTGCAGAAGAGCGGGGTCAAAAAATGTCTCACGGTCCTACTTGCTCTAGTTGTCACAGGTCAATTCAGAGTAGTGCGGTAGCATTGTTTCAAGTTTCCGCGACTATATGACTACGAAGCACTTCGTTCGTCTCTTCACGCGCAATGCACTGCATTAGCATCGAGGAACGCATTTTAAAGAATATTCGCCTACATGCACGATAATTAGTTGAGATTTTCAATGGGAAAAAAATATTGAGCGCACTTGCTGCACCTTAATGATTAAGAAGAAGTAGTATCCACCGTTATAGAGCAAGAAGGACATCTGTGTCGCATTAATACCGTCGATGCTACCCGAGGATGCAGACAGTGACTATGATAGCCCTGAAAATTCCTGAATTTTGCTGTCTATACCCGAGTGCTGGACGTCGTATCTGCATATACATTTCTAGCGCCGGCGCTCGGGCCAATTTTGAAATTGCATGTGGATTGTGCACTGGCAGATATGTTGATCACTGCGAGTTGTGTACTGGTGAGGGCCGACAGAGCGCTCAGTCCTTCTGAGTTCAGCGTCGCCAAAGTCTTCGTAACCATGCGGCCGGTGAGCGCTGTTGGGATGAGAAAGTTCTGGACCGACGAGAAAGAACCCTAGGGCAATACCGACGTCTCATCGATACTGTGCCTGCATATCCCACCATCAGGTCGACAGGAAAATAATTCCCCACAATATGGAATTAATTATTAATTGAACATTTAATAGGCGAGTCGCTTGAACGGTGGGAGATAGATCGCTCGGATAAGATGGGGAGATGGGGGGATACGAGAGTACGCGGCAACCCTGTCTTGCACACCATAGTGAACAACTCTGAGGGAATGGTAATGCAGCCGACATGTTTTTGTGGAAGTAGATTTTACGTCCTACTGCGAATCATCGCGCTTGGCCACATGCATATGATCTGACCTCACGTATGAACGGTCATTTGTATGCGGCTTTAACAGGGTCGCCTGTGTGAATGCATTGCACAAGATACAGAGTGACAGCCGTGAGAGGATGAAGAGTGCGATCTTCTACTACCGGTAGTGGGATGCGCCTAGGAGTAGCTTGACCTGTACAAAGTGATGATGCTACAGAGAGCTGCGAAAAGGTTGGGAAACCCAATGGACCGCTGATGTCTGTTGAACCATCGTTCCAGCTGGCTGTGGGGCAACTGCGCTTCGCTGGAGGAAACAACAGTGCACATCGTAAAGCCATGCAGCAGTGCCCTACTCGCAAGACATGCCACGAGGCTGAAGGCAAAGATGCGATGAACAAGTACCGATCGCCCGGGTGTATAGGGGTTGCAAGGCAATGCCGAATCTGAGGGGCAGCCATAATCTTGGGCTTGGACGCAAACTCGCAGAGTCGCAAGAGCTCAGATGATGTTGATGATAGATGGCCAGATCCTGCCAGTACTGGTTGAGATTGCATAGCAACAGACGAAAAAAAGGGTCCACTTACGCCAGAAGCCCCACCAGGCTCTGGATCACAGCCCATACGAACGGGACCCAGCTTGATGAATTTGATCAGTATTTGTATACTGCGGGCGCAGGGACAACAAACGCACGTGGACATGTAAAAGCCGCCTGCCTTGTATACACCTGCAAGTACGAAGCCAACCACAGCTGCTCCCATGACAGCACCGGTGAGACTAAGGAACAGAAACGCAAGAATAACGAGGAGGGCAAAAGCGAGTCGAGAACGGCGAACGTTAGGTCGTGGAGGCTTGATCCATTGTTCAGTTTGGTTGGAGTCGGGAGAGAAGGGAATGCGGGGAGAGGGTTCAAGCGGGAATGTCGTTATTGATCGACGCGAAGGCGGAAATGCGAAATTGAGGAAGGCATAAATGCCACAGATGGCATAGAAAGGAAGGTGAAAAATAAGCGTCCAATAAAGAGTGAAGCGAAAGATGTCTGTAGAGTTCCATAAGCTTTCTGCAGCAGGAAGTAACAGAAAACGGTCTACCGTCTGGATTGACGAGATAAGAACCACCTGGCTGCATGGGACGCAGGGGACCATAATCGACGGAGAGCTCGATAGCTGGGTTGTAGAGAGATGGCCAGCTCACGGAGGTGATGTTGAGTTCCATTGCCATGACGGACAATAAAAGCACATCAAGAAAGACAAGTTGAAGGTGAGTCTGCTGGTCAGCTGAGCCAACGTTAAGCTCATAGTAAAGTGCTTGTTTAGGAATGCCCGTAAACATCGGTAAACACGGAACACTAACTACTAAGGCTTGCAAGCATCAGCAAACGTGACTTGTCTTGAAAGCGCTCACCAAAGGCCCACCGAATGCTCGTGTGCAAATGCGTTTTAGTTAGCTCAGGTCAGCGTCCGTAACGCCCATTTTTGGTTAAGTTAAACCCTGACACCTTAAGAGATAGTCCGACGCGAGATCCTGCGTTATCGGCTCGATTATCTTGTTAGTACTACTACTGATACTACATCATGATTATCTAGTACATCAATCGCTGATCCCTGAGTCAGATGTCGACGAGCTCTCGTCACCCCGTGCTTGTGATGGTCCGATCTCCAATATATACTGTAAATGCTGCTCCAACTCGATCTTTTCTGCGCCCGTAACTCCATCCATCGCGCCAACGATTTCTTTGAATTTGTCGTTGTGGGCTTTTCCACCGAATGGGTCTATATCTAACTGCACCTTTGCTTGTTCGTACAACGCGCAGTGCGTAGCTGCGCCAGCTACGCCTACGACGTTCTTGATGGCCTTGAGTGAGGACGTGTCGAGGAACGATGCGGAGCCCCAATACCACACGAATCTGATGACATTGGCCATCACGAATCTGTTCTGGAATTTTGCACGAACGATTATATTATCGTTCTGCGAAAGACGTAGTTAGTAGATAGTAAAACTTGATAATCGCTCGACGTACCTCGTCGAAGTAAAAATCGTGCATGAACATGAGAGGGTCAGCGCCCTGAATGAGGCGGCTGACCCTGGCAATGCGATACTGGGTTGGTGGTAACGAGTGTCCTCGTGGGGCTAACAGTTGGAACGCGTCGCAAACGCCATCCCGCGCGAAATCAATCATTTTTCCGCGTTTAGCGGACAGGGCATTCGCAACCTGTTTGCGGTGTGCGTTCGTGATGAAGGACTGAAATACAACTACGAAGATTAGCAAAAAAGTCTAATCCAAATATACAAAACTCACCATTGGGCCCATAAAACTGCGGGATTGAGTCTTCAATAGCCCTATCGACGAAGCGCCTCTTTTTCGACCTAGAGTACACCATCGCGTTCCTCGAGAATAGGAGTCGTGTGATCAGGACTTTGGCGCCCCCCATCGCGTGATTGATATCGTCCTTCGCCAGTCTGATGATGTTTCGAGACGACGACGCTTCATCTTGAGTGTCGCCTGGTGTGTCGTGCTGTTCGGTGGAGACGGCGGGGGTTCGTGACACCAGGTATGGTGTTACAGGCATATTGACACGCCGGGCTGTGCGCGCCCGGGTCGTCCTCGCGGGTCCCGCTGTCTGTGGGCACATCGTTAAATTTAATCAACAATTAACGAAATAAAATACTCACATGTACTACTTCCGAAACAGGAATTTCTCCCTGTTGGATCATCATCGAATTTGAGGCCGGGGGCAACGGACCCTGTGGTTCTGCAACATTGGAGCCCCCGTCTGGCGCCTCCTCGATCCACCGAGGCATGGGTGTTACCTGTCTAGGATGGTGATCAGGCGGGAAATCAGTGAAGGATGGGCCTGAGTCGAGTCGAGCGTCCCGGAAGTGATTGTAAAAGTCGTCGTCTTCGTAAGACGCCGAGCCCTGCGTGGGACCGTACGATGACGGCCCACCTCCGTCTCCGTAAGTCGAAGAGCCCTGCGCGGGACCGTACGATGACGGCCCACCCCCATCTCCGTAAGTCGAAGAGCCCTGTGCGGGACCGTACGATGACGGCCCACCCCCATCTCCGTAAGTCGAAGAGCCCTGCGCGGGACCGTATGATGACGGCCCACCTCCATCTCCGTAAGTCGAAGAGCCCTGCGCAGGACCGTATGATGACGGCCCACCCCCATCTCCGTAAGTCAACGAGCCCTGCGCGGGACCGTATGATGACGGCCCACCCCCATCTCCGTAAGTCGAAGAGCCCTGCGTGGGACCGTACGATGATGGCCCACCCCCATCTCCATAAGTCAACGAGCCATGGGCATCGTGAAACTGTTGCTGCGCAGCTGCACAACTGATTAGCAATCAATGGACGCGTTCCTAATCTACTCACCTTGACGCTCTCCCACAGACTGTGCATATGGATCGAAATCGAAAGCCGACATTTGAGGTTGCTCTGCGGAAAGATTGAATTGACCTGCAGCTGGGAGACCAGAAGGATTGAGGCCTGATCCCCTAGGTGGCTTGGGGATGGCAGCTTTACCCTTGCGCTGTGAACTACGCCCACCTGGCATGCAGGTAGTGGTCAAGAAGATAAGTACAAAATCGCACATCCAAAAGTCACATGCGCTTGCAATTTCATACATACAGAATAGGGGGACACAGACTCGGTACACGACTTACAGACTTGGAGCAATGAAACACGTTGTAATCGATATCAGGATATTTACGCGAAAATCGAAGGAGGCTTCAAAGCGGTTCGAGAAGCGGATTGAATAGGTGGCAGTGTTTCGAGAAGAAAGGGGAAACCGGTGGTAGTTGAAGAAGCATATTGAATAGACAGGGGAAAAGACGTGGCGTTTCAAGAAGTGATATATGAACGGCGCGAACCGACAATCTACTACGATATGGATCAGTGTGAGCAAAATCGTCAAAATGTGAAAATTACATACCATGATTTGCAAATTTAGGAAGTTCTGGGCCGTGGTCTACCCGTCAACACCACCATCGGCTGCCTTGTCGCCGTCGTCGTCATCATCATCATCGGATTCGTCATCATCCATGATATCATCTGTGTCTGAAGATGGACCAGATTTACCGACGAAGTGGGGTGGTTGAGACGACTTTCCCATGGAACCCAAAATGTCTTCCTTGATGTGAGAGCCCAAGTGCTTTGTAAGCACCTCGGCTTGGGCGGAGACAGCGCGAAAAATCTCGCAATCCTCATCATAGACAGCTTGAAGGTAGCTCGTGTCGTCGTCGATTTGTTCTTGTGACCGGTCAGAAAAAACGTTTCTGACCTTTTTCAATTCTTCATCACTGAAAAGGAGGCGGTCTTGGTTCTCACGATGGAGACCATTCAGGAATGCTGTGAACCGTTCTGACTCCTCGACTTCCCACGCCGTCAACACAAGACGTTGGCGTGCAGCTTCACGACTAGCAAGCTTTGACTTGAATAATGAGTGCAAAGTTGCAAGGCTCAGACGCGATAGGCCCCTGTAAATTAATTCCTCTCGCTTTCGACCTGTGAATTAAACCTGAGGAATGTTTTACAATGAGAAACATACCTCATTAACTTCTTCGGCAGTGAATTCTGGCCTACATCCTCGCCCTGAAACACGGGCTGCAAATCGGAGCTCCAGTGGAGCTTGATGTTGACGGAGAGGGTATGTAATGTAACTTTTGGACATTCGGTCACGCAGGTACTGTCCACGACGGGAAGGAGATGTGGCTTGAAGGCCAGGCTTTCCATGCCGGGAAGGCATTTTGGGGCCCAGCTTTCCACGACGCGAAGGAGACTTGGGGAAATACCTATATAACTATGTTCTGGTTTGCATTTGGGGACATACATACCTTATATAATATACTCTCCCTTGCCTCAGGAGGTTTAGGCACCTCATCCACTGGGGAGAGGGGAATAAGGGGAGAACCTGTATCAGAAACAGAACCTATGTCAGAGCTCATCAAATGAGGAGAGTGGGAGTAGTTTGTCTTCTTAAAAAGATCAAAGGAAGTCGGTTCAACACGAGTTGCAGAGCTCGAGTTAGTGGGAGCAGGACTGCTTGACCGAGGAGGAGAGGAAACAGGGGATGAAGGGGCAAATTCCATCGTCCTCTCAGTTGATAGTACAGCAGGCAATATGTAGTAGGCTGACTGCCAGTGTAAACCGGAGATGCGTTGTTGCTGGACTTTGAAAGATTGAGCAGTTTCAAACCAGTCCAGTCACGACAACGACCTGAGGGCTATACTACAATGTGAGTACTATATCCTGTTGAGCTCAATTAATATATATGCGCACTTATATTTGGCAGGTTATGTCCCAACTGCAATTTGGGAGACTTTCTGTCCGTCGAGGCGCTGATTCGGCATCTCAATTCTGAGCCTACCTGTTGGCCACTCGAAGCACGACCGCAAGAAGTACCCGTCCCTCCTGTATTCCGTCGATGCGGAAGTGATCGAATACCCGCTACTGGTACTTGCCATCCGCAGTCTGGATACGTCTTCGGCGTCGGCAGAAATATGCTCGATAGGTTGGATGGTGATCAATATGCGTATCGGCGGAAGATAAGCCATTACTACCCTTTTCACGACGAAGGTGAATGGGAGTTAGGGAAGTTCTTAGTTGAAAATCTCACCCAGACTCAAATCATCAAATTTCTGAAGTTGAAATGGGTAAATGATGGTAAAAATGTGAATATATGATGCTCATCGTTCTTTGATAGTTTAACAATCATGCTAGGCCGTCGTTCACTACGAAGGACCAACTATTAGGCTGGATGGACTCACTCCCATGTTTTACGGAGTGGAAAGTCTCCAAAATGGAGTTTTCAGGCTACAAGACAGTCCACCCCATCGAGCTCATTTGGCGCGATGCGCTAGAGGTCGTCAAACAACTCTTTAGTGACCCCATCTTCACAAACCATATGACCTATACTCCGCATGTCGTCAATGTTGGAAATCAGCGTGAATACGGAGATTACATGAGTGCTGATATGGCCTGGAGAATACAGGTTCGCTTACTCTGTTAGTCTATTCCTTGTCTTCACGATTTTCTAGGACCATCTTCCTGTAGGTGCGACTCAAGTGCCAATCATATTGGGATCCGATAAAACTCATGTAACGCGAATCACCGGAGGACTTGAAATGCACCCAGTCTTCCTAACTATCGGCAACATCGATTCAGAGGTTCGCTCCAAAGCAACTTTACGAGCTTGGCGATGTATTGCCTATATGCCGATCGCAAAGTTTCGCGTGCACTCAGACTATCAAAGCATTCTCCAGGCGCGGCTATGGCATAAGTGCATGGACCTCGTGCTTGCCAACCTCAAGACTGCAGCACTGGACGGGTGTTTCATGCCTGATCCCTCCCGATACATCCGTTATGTTTTTACACCACTCGTCGCTCATGTATGCGACCTGCCGGAGGCTTCTATGATCGCTACAGTCGCGAAAAATGCATCCCCTGTGACTATGGCGGTGCAAGTGGATTTTGGTGATGGGATACTTCACCCCCCTCGTACCGGGAAGCATACGCTGCAACAGATTGCCGACATATCCCGCAATGTCGACCCTTGGGATCTTGACAAGTTCCAAAAAGCAGCTAAAGTTGCCAACCTGTCTGGAGTCCATATGCCATTCTGGCGCGATTGGATCTACGCATGTCCGTCCGTCTTCCTCGCTGGTGAAGTTCTACATACTTGCTTTAAATTTTTCGCCGATCATCCGCTCAAATGGGTTAAGGAGGCTGTAGGAGCTCATGAGCTTGATAACCGTTTTATTGTTCAGCACAAGCGGGTCGGCACGCGCCACTTTGCGAAAGGTATCACACAGGTCAAGCAAATGACGGGCCGTGAGTACAGAGACATACAACGCACCATCGTTGCCTCAATCGCAGGTGCCACTTCACCCCAATTTGTCCGCGCAATCCGTGCCATCGTGGAGTTCATTTACCTCGCACAGAATCCGGTCCATTCACCTGAAACGCTTCAGTCAATGGAGCAAGCTATCTCGGACTTCCACTCTTTCAAGGGCGCTATTATTGAGGCCGAAGCAAGGAAGGGGAAGAAGGGCGTCAAAGAGGATTTTTTCATACCCAAACTCGAACTGCTGCAAAGTTTCAAGGGTACGGTCCAGCGGTTGGGCACTTTGATGCAGTTCTCGGCCGATACGACGGAGCGCTTGCTCATCACCCATTGTAAGGATCTTTTCCCACGGACAGCCCGACAAAGCAAAGATTTCACAGAGCAGTGCGTGCGGATCCTCAACCGCCAAGAAGCAATGGAGATATTTGACCTGTACGCACTAATGACTTCTCGTGGGGCGTCATTGGTCAATGCCATGCATGCTGAAGAGGATGAGGTTGAGACTACTAACCCCGCACTTTCGTGGGTTTCGCGGGTCCTCCCTGATGAAGTCAAGTCAGTTCGTGGTCCCCGACCAGTCCGTAACCACTTCTTGAAGGGCATCCTATCTGGAGATGCGCAGACCGCTTTCCAAGTAAATGTCACACCAGACTACAGATCGTTATCACCGGCTGAAATATCTACAAAATACGCACTCCCCGACTTCGATCGCGCACTCGCCGATTTCATTACTCGTTCGTCAATGTCTGGCGGCGAAAATACCCGCTGGGACCCCAAATATGGGCGCTACCAGGCATGGAACAAGTTTCGGCTGCAACTTCACTCAGCCTTCCAGCAACGTGTCATCATGCCAAGCAGAGTGGTGCAAGCATATCCACCAAGCGATGATTATCCCTTGGGAAATTGTGACACCGTTCTCGTTGACGCTATGGCCATTGATGGCCAAATAAGTATGTATATTCTATACGTTTACATCTAACCCTACTGATATCACATATTTACAGCGAGTCGCTGTCGCACAAGTTCGACTAATTTTTCAACCGGTGGTTCGACGAGGTTCCAACCTGGAACTGCCATCGTATCTGTCCGACCCACTTCTCTACGTTCAATTTTTCTGCTTCATTTCCAGTCCTGCTGATCGTCCCGAACTCGCGATGTGGACTGTGGAGCGCGTGTACACGCAGGATCAAAATGGTAACCGCCATAGAGAGGGAGCTATCGTACAAGTGACAGACGTTACGCATGCAGTTGAACTGATCCCAGTTTATGGCGAGACAGTAGCCAAGGATGTGTCCTCTGCAACTTCCTTGGAAACATATGAGCGTTTCTTTCTGAATAATTTCGCGGACAAGGAGAGTTATCATACGTTCAGTACTGAGTTTGTGTAGACGGTAGCAATTGTATCAATCTATTGCATCTAGTATCATATCATATCATATCTTTGAGCATATCACATCTTAGTAACGAAAGATAAACTGTGCTTGAATCTTATCAACCAGATATAGTTTTTCAGCATCTCCACCAATCGCGTGAGTTCGCTAGTCAAGTCGTAAGCGTTCGTAAGTGTCCGTAACGCGCGTAAGTAAGCGTTCATTTCAGCGCTTTTGCAGATGAACGAACTCCCGGCTCCCAGTCAATCAAAATCCATGTTGTAGCTCGATGTTTCTAGTTCAATGATGTCCACTGCGCGTGCACAAACACTGCTGCTCCTGTGAAGATCGCCGGCACTATCTGCGTATCCTCATTTGTATGCATACACCTGTTACGGTCAGCGTTCAAATGAATTGCCTACGAAAGAATCCTTGACAATTTCAAGACCACGACAGACCCTGCTCTCAGACTCTTCGTCCAGCACACTTCCTTATTCTCAGTGCGGAGAATAGTGAGCACCTTTGAACTTGGCCCTCGCCGGAAAAGACCCTGATATACATACTACAGGATCGATGGAGGGCTGCTTAGCTTGAGCGCGACATCACAATGACTGCATGACGCCCATCCCAGACTCAATGTCCACTCCATAATGTTAGGCTAACTAGTACTGACACCGTGTTAGTATTACGTAATACATATCTTGCTCACCACTTATGCTGATTTCGCTCGTCATGCTTAGCCGTCTATTTGTTTTGTACCGAGGCATTGGAATCAAAAGCACATCCGGATATGCTATTCCCGATCGCCGACCCATTTCCTGAAGAACCACTGGCCTTATCTGGGGAAGAGGAGTTCGGATTCTTTACTGCCAGCCTTGGGACGCAACTCAACAATTCTCGCTGTAATATTCTGAGAAAGCTGAGGAGGAGCCCCTTGGTTTTCCTCTACTTGCTTGGCTTCAGATTCTCTGTAAGTCTAGTTGCCCATATTAAGTCATCCTTACTCATCGTTCAACGTTCATTCCCTCAGAGCGGCTAAGAAGCTAAGATATTGATCATACTGTACCACAAAAACTCTGGCTGTTCATGCTAAAAAAGGTCATCACAGCGGCCACCTGCTGTTGGAGGCCATGGAAACTATTGCTGAATCAATCAAGACACCTCTTCGAGACTACCGTTGCTCAAGTTGTGGAAACCTTGACTCTGTTGCATGCCACAAACATCATATACACAGGTAGGTATAGCAATTACGCTGACGCAACATATTGTCCTTTCTACTGAAGTAGACTTCAAGCCCAACAACGTGCTATTTGACGAGGGGAGCGCCATGATGGAGGAGAATTCCCCTCAGAAGATTCTTACGAGGTTCCGAAATAATTTGATGAGAGTGGTCAGTGCGTCCTTCCTTGTAGCGTCCACTCCATTACTATTGAACACGGTTTGATCATATCAGGAAAGTTACTTGGTATCGACCGACTGTTTCCGAGGACTCGAGAGCGAGATGATCGAGTACGGTCTGTTCGAAGCAGAAGCGATTGCCGCTGCAGCGTTTATCCATGCGTGCTTGCACTTTGATCCAGAAGAACGATGTTCGGCCAGTGACTTGCTTGAACATCCATGACTGGATTCTGCATATAGTACGTGTTAGTCTATCCTTATATCTTTGCTGCGTTTGCGTATCACGGGCGCTGGAGATCTTGAACGCTAGGAACACCTACAATGGAGTCACATGTTGAGAACACCCTCGAAACGATTGTTCAAGTGAATATATGGCTTCATTGAGCAGTCCAGCGTTGTTCGCAAATAGGGGGCTTCGCTTGCACCATAATGAAGACGACGACAGCCTGAGACGCAGTGAGTGACCTGAGGGCCAAGAGTTCAAAGACACCAGCCAGTCATCAGTAAACCGGTGAACAAATGAGAAAGGTATTTAAAGGTATATATTGTTAAGCATCGCAACCATCAGCGTAAATTTGACGACCGCCTTCACATGGGAATGTTTAGCATTGTCGAGGAAAGATTAATTTGCAAGCACACGGGTCTGGTAGCCCTATTTGCCTCAAGGCCTTTTTCATTTGGATGGGTCTAAGAAACAATGCGCGAACACAGGTTCATGCATTGGAATATAAATCTGGTCTGAGGATGACAAGAAAAGAGGTTGCGGTGTGCAGAAGTAAAAGACACTTGGGTGATGCTCACGCGTGAAGAGGACGGGTGTCATTTGGTCTTTGCACAATATATTTTTGCTCGCTGCGGATAACTACCGAGCGTGCGAGTAACTTGCTCGAGGAAAAAGTATGAGTAACAGTAGACATTACTTCTCAACGGATCGTTTGTCTATATTGACTGAATGTTGGATGAATGTCGCTTTGAGAAGTATATTGCATAGAGTAGAGACAATATCCTGAGTTAACTTAGAGTAGGTATCACTGCTCGATGAACGCCGAGTTGCAATGACATAGAAGCACCGGAGTCGCGCATGCCAAATGTTTATTTGTAGACCGTCGCACAGATCAATACATTATACGGAGCGCAAATACTGTTCCAAGGTATGTGAGAGTACCAATGAATTCTCGATGTATAGATTTCCTACTCTGTCGCTGAAAAGCAAGAATTATCCAGTGAAACCTTTTCGGAACACGATACTACATCAAATCATCCCTTAGGACAAAATCAAAAGTGTACATTTTTGCTCGAGTGCACAGAATTTGCGGTTGTGACCACGTTTATCAGTAATTCGAACCTTGGTGTAACGCTGGAAGCATGCACAATGGCAGTGCTACATTGTAATCTCACGCCATTATTACCATCTTTCCAATTTGAATGCTTTTGGCCTTTCTAACCGAAAGCATGAAAGATCTCGTGTACTACTCAAGCACCTCAAAATTTATAGCGGTAAGTGATGCTTCGCCCTGATGCCTCACTTGCCACTCAATAAGTGTCTTAGGTATTTCTTCACTTTTCCACAGGATTGCGTTCGTTCTGCTTTGCGGGACGTTTCATGATGTAGAGCATCCGCTCGAGACTTCATAGCGGTGAGTGATGCTTCACCTCGATGTCTCACTTACGACCTAACGAGCATCTTATGTATTTCGTCACTGCTCGATTGCTTTGCGTTTGTCCTCCTTTGCGGGACGTTTCATGATGTAGAGCATCCGCTCGAGACTTCATAGCGGTGAGTGATGCTTCACCTCGATGTCTCACTTACGACCTAACGAGCATCTTATGTATTTCGTCACTGCTTGATTGCTTTGCGTTTGTCCTCCTTTGCGGGACGTTTCATGATGTAGAGCATCCGCTCGAGACTTCATAGCGGTGAGTGATGCTTCGCCCTGATGCCTCACTTGCCACTCAATGAGTTTCTTAGGTATTTCTTCACTTTTCCACAGGATTGCGTTCGTTCTACTTTGCGGGACATTTTATGACGTAGAGCATCCGCTCGAGACTTCATAGCGGTGAGTGATGCTTCGCCCTGATGCCTCACTTTCCACTCAATGAGTTTCTTAGGTATTTCTTCACTTTTCCACAGGATTGCGTTCGTTCTACTTTGCGGGACATTTTATGACGTAGAGCATCCGCTCGAGAGTTCGGCGAGAGCATCTTATGTATCCAATTACTTTGTGTTTTTTGCACCTTGCGGGACGAACTTTGATTCTCTAGAAAATAGGCATATTTTTATTCCATACACATTTAACTATCTTAGTAGCCTGTAACTACAGTGCGAATGGGGAAACAGGTAAAAATTGTCAAGCAACTAGTCGGAGTCGAACGCAAGGTCCTCCATCTGTCGTCTCTGGGCAGCGAGAGTGCTCACAGACATCCGGGATATAATGTCCTGTGTCAAGTCCTGTCGATGATTCCTGCCAAAAACTTTCCTGCACAGGGAATTAGGAGTCAGGGTGAGTCACTAATGGTCAATGACTTGCCTGGTCCACCATTCAAGCAAATCATTCGCCCTGGTTCGTGCGGCTGGACCCGGAGCGTCCTCAAAGAAATCGACGATGCTGGTCCAGAAGATCTGATAGTCAAAGTCGCCATCCACAGTGCGCCAGGAGTTGATACTAGAAAGCGCGAACCGGATCTGCAGAATTTAATGTTAACTTCTGAGTCATAATTAAAAGGAAGCTGCTTGCCTGGCAGGCTGCATACGCGATTGCGCGAGGTGTTACTTTCCTCATGCCTATAATGGAGGCAACGCATGTTTTAACTCTGGCTTGATCTGACCGTTTACGGGCACGTCGATTATTTTCAATAATATCAGCACCATTACCTTCACCGTCCACTTCATTAGCAGAAGAGGGAGAAGTAAAGATAGCCTTGAATCCCTGTCATGCGTTGAGCCATGAGTCAGTTGAAATGATGGGGCCAGTCACCATAATTAACAACCTCGACTTCATCAGACCGTACTCCAGATTATTAGCATCAGCTTGGTAATTTTCGTACAGGAACGATGGCCAAGAATTTTCTGAAACGATGAAATCAATTGTGCGGTCACGAATGCCAGCCCTGACGCTGAACAAAATGTCAGTAAACTGTGAGCAACGAAGATTATCATTTACACCGGGTCCTCCCAAGACCATTCTGCCGGACAGAGGAGTCTGCCGCACGCATCACTCACAAAACCACGATGGTGCTTGTCGTCGGTCCTTATGAGCGCAGTCGGATGGCACTCAATATTTACCCAGGAAGCAACAAGTTCTTTAAGGGTCGCTGTGTCGTCGCCACGAGCAGAGTCTGCACCTCGCTTGAGCTATATCGAGAATCAGCAAAAAGTGTGATAAAGACGTGGAAGAAAACCTTTTTGAGCATATCTTCAGAATCTTCATGATCAAGACATGCTAGCTTGTCGTGAAGCCACGGTAATGCCTTGGCGAGTTCGATGTAGCCATGTTGAAGACGGTCTTGCCTACTCCATTTTGTAAATAAGCACGACGATATAAACATGGATAGTTACACCGTGGTAGAGCTGCTGCTAGGCCCGCAGTCTTCACACCGCCTGTCGTTTTCTGCGATCAAATCCTCTATAGGGGTGTAAAGGGCAACGATACGACGGATCGCTCGTCCCTGTGAAACATAATAGATTGTTTTCCTGTACCAAAGGATTAGTTAATACTACGGTAAGTCTAAGAGCCGAGAGCGTGCTTCGCACCTTTGCTTTATTGCCTTGTCCTGCTTCAAGATTTCAATTTCATCCATCAGAGTAGCAATCTTTCGCTTCGCCCTAGCATGCGGAGAAGTTTGGACACTCAGCGAGATATCCGGAACAGGAGGGATGATCTCAGATGTTGACATACTGGCATGAAGACGAGGTAGAACTACGAAAAAGTGGAGGAGAGTACGAGATGTAAGAGCTTGTGAGGTTATCTTATATATAAATGTCTAACCTGAGTATAGCCTTGGTGAATTTTGACGTAAAACACTTTTCGGATCGACCAGTACGCGAAACGAGCAGCTTCCGAACCATTTTAGTGTTTGCGCACCAGGATTTCAAGCTGTGGTTCCGAGTTGTATGTGCTAGTTCGATTAGCAACCGAAATTCAGCCGCGTCGATACAGTTCAAACTTAGTGCTACTCACGAGATTGAAAGCCGTTCATGTAATTGGTTGGCCCATGAGTGCTGCTCAATTGTAAAATGTCGTTGTCGATGTCGACTTGACCCTTACGGCCGTCCTCTCGTGAATAACCTATGCGGATCCTAAACCTTTCCTGGTTTAGCCGCTACCGTTGTCGGTCAAACCTTCGCATGGGAAACGTTCCACACCTTATTGCAGAGTATCCTCGTCCCAATCCTCGCTGTATAGAGCCCAAGTTAGCTACCTAAACATTCCATGTTCTAGAAGCCGTCGGTGAACTCAGAAAAAGATATTCAAGATCCAAACTTACTGGTACTACAGTTTGCACTGACATTCCACAAGCGAAGGCCAGCGATGGAATTGTTGCTCGAAGCAGCTGGGTTGGTATAGATGATGTTAGAGTTGTTCGTGTTCCAAAGGTACTGCGTTTGGCTCGAGTCAATGGCCTGGCAGCTGACATTCGCTGTTAAGCCTTGTTGCCACATGGAATGGTTCGTACTGAAACCTTGAGGAATACTAGGTACGCTAGAACTTCGAAAGCATTGTCCTGGACTTCGTTATCCCATTTTACAAACCACTCGTTAACTAGAGTAGAGATACATACTGAGACCATTTGCGTTGTCCACCTGTAATCTCATTCAAATAAGAAAAATCTCGACAATGGTTTCAGAGAAGATGTACCCGGCCGTTAAGAGCTTTTGTCACTCACACCGCGGCTTTCGATTCCTGACCTCAAACTTGCCACGCACTCAAAGCTATATGTCTCATGGCGAGAAACCTGAATCTGTTGAAGACTACGAGAGCCGGACAGGTGAAGTGGCGAAAGATCGCCAGATTGAGATCTTGAAGGAGCAGCGAGATTCCTCGATCGAAGAAGGGTCTGTCTTGGGCAGGCTGTTTGTTTGGCAAAAGCCTTCGATCCAAACAACCCTGTGGTGTCAGCCAAGACCTCGTTTTTCGACACCTCCGTAACCTGATGGTCATTGTACTTGAACCAATTATCAGGTTGTTCCGGTATATGTCTTGAATAGAAGAAGTAGTGTCCAAATGAGGGTGATGAGCCACGATGTATGAAGACGGAGGTCAGCTCAAATGCGACCGAGGTATCATCTTTCCAAACATTCTCCAGTTCTTCCTTCAGCTTCGATATCGTGTCCTTGAATTCGACAATTTCAGTCTCGATCATATCCTGTTCGCCGTTGATGTTTGCAATGAGCTCTTCATCGACATCTGGGAGGATAAGCGTTTCTTGCTTTGACAAGAAATCAAGCGTGTTTTTGAGCGATCCAGGGAAAGGTGCGTGCTAAAGTAATCTGAATTAATTCAAAAAATATATACACAGGGGACCTTACCTTATCTTGTGTCAGCAAGCGCAGACGTTCACGCCGCATGTTTAATTCCGTTTGTACCTCCTTTGACCTAGCCCTCTTGCCTGGATCTGCGGTATCAAGGAACCGGTCCATATATATCGTCTCGCCAAACTTGACATAAGCTTGCGATTTGTATGGTTGGAGGGTCTCTCTGTTGAACCACGAAACCAATTCCTGTATGAAAAACTCTTATCGGGATGCAGCCAATCAGATCATTTTCAGTCGCTCTGTGATTCACCATACTGCTTTTACAGTCACAAGATACATGCATTTCCAACTAAATGGGCTAAGGCTATACTCTTCTTCCGGATATCGTGCATGGCAGTCATGCTCAGTTATGTAGGTGGTGCGAGTATTTACAGAACGACTTCTACCTTATCACGATCAGTTACTTCATAGACAAGAAAATAGGTTGATAATCAGCTAACCTCAGCCATCCAATTCGGATTCGGACTCGGACTCCACAGGATTCCTTTCCACATCCGAGCCATCTTCCTCGGGTAAGTTGCGTGCAAGGCCCTCAACTTGTTCGAGCTGTAAGTCACCAACAGCGAGTGACGTGAGGTCATGACTGTATGCGCCAACGTGGAAGTCCATAGAAGCTTCAAGCTCTTGCTTGTTCTGTGGAACGAGCATTTCCATAAAGGAAACTGCTGCGGCGCGATTGGCAAATTTTCTAGCTTCCTCCTTAAAAATCAGTTCAAGAAGCTTAGAGTGTTCCGATGAGGCTTGGATTTCCCAAGCCGTTGTCATAGCGCGTAAGCGCATAGATTCACAAGCAGCTCGCTTGGCGACAACAATTTGAGTGATAGTCTCCTTAGATAGGAGCGCAACACCACGCTCAAAGACGTCTTTGCCCTGACACATGATTGCTTATCAATATGAAGTAAAGCACATTTAACTAAAATTAGGGTAACACACCGCTTTGACATCTGCCAGGCTCATATCAGTCTCGCCGGGGCACTTCCCGCAAAACCTATCAACATAACGGAGCTCTAGTGCAGTGGGCAAGGGACCATGCGGCTTGTCATACGGCTTGAACTTCCGTTGCGCACGAAGGACGTATTGAGACAATTGCTTGGTGATTGCAGGAGGTTCGGGTATTGCGGTGATGAAATCTGACAAGCCATTGGAGGTGGATGATCGTTGATGTTTGGATGACGACTTAGATGCGATCGAGTCAGATGGTCTGGCTCTCCTGTGTCTCCGCCCAGGACATGCGGTGTGTGGATCCTCGAGCTGTCCTAGACTTCGACAAGATTCATCACTGCTCTGACGGGCATGGCCTATAGAGCTTGGAGGAGTATGTGTTTGCATTATTTAGTGGTTGGGAATATGAACTATGGACCCGTCGGAGTCTAAAACTGAGTGACTCGTGAGTCGTCCGATGTGCTAAGTTTATGTTTATGGCCTAGGCCCTGATGGCCCCCCCTCGGAGCAACACAGTGACATTCTATCCTGTGGTGCATATCGTGCATGAGTTTGCGCGGCTCTCAATTCACAGATTTACGTGAGTGTGTACCAATTTTTATTTTCCATCCTCTTGCTTGCGACAGGCACTTTCATTCAGTAACTGCGTGGTTGAACAACTTATCCTGCTCCCAGGATCCTTCCCCAGCTCAGACATTGTCTCTGAGATCCGTTCCTCCTGGAGTTTGAGGTTGCTCTCCAGGAGATGAATGACATGTTAGTGAATGTCGATATCCTCTGCACGGCAGTTGACATGATCTTCAAGTTCCTGTATCTGCTCCCAAAGCGCGTGAGCTATCTGACATAGTGGCTATGAGCGTCGTGCAACATCTAAGTATCTTTGGATTTGTGACCTCAAAAGGCTGAATGTCTTAAGCTCTGCTTGCTGGAGCCCATTGTGGGTGTCCTCGTTAGATGACTTTGCTGCCCTGTACTTCAACAGTCCGAGATTGGACTTTGGCTTCCGGCTCTGTGACCAGTAGTAGGAGCAGGCAGTTATGTGATTCTTCTGATGCAGTCAATTGCTGGCATGAGACCTCGAACTAACTTCATAAAGTGGCGTCTCGTTCTGCGACTGATCATTGGGAGTAGTCAAGGACTTCAAGTTGGTTTTGCTCGGCAGCATGCAAACGATTGCGTAGGTGATTCATAATGACGCCTAGGACTGTAATAGCAGGTAAGTACCCTCTTGTCTTCGTCAGAGAACACGCTAAATACCGTGATCCATTATGATTCGTACGTGCAATAGTGCGACCTCCTCTTATCTTCCAACACTATCATTACCCACATCAAGTTTTCCTCTGAGCCCTTCGCCCTCAGGCTCCTCAACGAGCGTATTAAATTCGAATACAGCCCGCGAACAGGCATCGTCATCGATGGGACTTCGGGCACGGTGCTTGGCCGCCTTTTGGCCACATCGATAGCAGGTTTTTGTTTATAGGTGGCAAAGGCGACCAATTTGGCGACCGGAGGTAGTAGAGGTAGGAATATATCCGATGAGATGACGGACGCTAAGGACTCACTGATTGTGATATTTCCTGTACTGATATCGAGACTTCAGATTTTAGTTATTTAACATGTTGTAAATTATTGTACATCACTGCAGACTGCGAAATAAGCTAAAGCGACTTTCGAAAATAAATTGTTTGAGTGTACAGTAGTATTGGTTGAACACACACTACTAGGTCCAACATATGCTACTCATCCTCCGAGTCGTCATGCAGTTGGGCTCGTGCTTTCTTTTTCCCTTTAGTCTTCCTTCTTCCCTTTGCACGTTCCACTCTCATATAAGCTTTGGAGACACAGCTATGAAAGGTAAGTGCAGTACCCTCTGGCATACCGACCTTGTTCTGGTAAAATCCAACATTAAACCTAACTGCAGTCGGCAAATACAAGATGCCACGGTCTTTCAGTTTACCAGCATACTGTAAGAAGTTCATGGCCGGATAACGAGAATGAACACTGGTAAGAAAGTTTCCGATGATTTGTGGTGGTTCGTCGTCGCTAGATTCTTCGTCACTTTCCATGTAAAGGGCGTATGTCCTTTTAAGTGGCTGGGGCATCATGATAGGGCATTCTCCTTGTTGTTTTCCTTCAGAAGTCACCGTGTCGCTGATGGCGGGTGAAACGTGGATGTGATTATGGATGATAGGAGAAATGATCTCAGTGGGCATTCTCTGAAGCGACGAAAGAGCTCGTCCCTGGCCGCGTGTCTCGTTCGTCAGGCTCTGCTTGCCTGCCACAGAAGACCTGGAGCTGCGTTTCACCGGATTTTCTTTGAGTGCAGGCATCTACAAATAATTATTCGCATAAATCACTCGCAAACATCGAAACATCGAAACACATACGGTATTGATAATTTCAATCACGACTCTCTTCCTTCCCTTCCCTTCCCTGAACTCTGCTCTCACCGCTTTGAACGCACTGTCAATATCGTATGATGTCAGAAGGCGATGGGGTGGGTCTTTGCGACGGGAAACGGATAAGCGCCATGCCAAGTGCTCATACGTGGATGGAACATCCATTCTAGCCTTGATGCGGTCGAAGATATCTAGGCGACAATCCGACTCAGAGTGTAGGTGGTCCACACATGTCACACTTAGGCTGCTATCCATGGTGTGTAGTGGTATCCTAAACTTGACTAACACAACATGAGTATCCTCACCGACCAGTTAGAAATTTTCGAATCACCTTTCTCGAGCTCCTGGCTCTCAGGCTGTTGCGGGTGTACAGAAAATCCTTCGATTAGCTGCGAGTCCGCCACACCATCATAGAAACTCTTAACCACGTGCGTGCGGTTCAACATCTCCAAGTCCTGGTCATTGACATCAGGGAGCTCTGGGCGTATTCTGAGTAGAAAAGCTGCATTTTGCACACGCTGAGCCTGCTGCTGAGAGCGCCGCTTGGCCACACGAGTTCTGGAAGATATGCTCGGAGAGAAAGTTTCAGGAACTTCAAGTTGACCAGGAGACTGCGTCATGGTGAGAAAATTCAACATCACAATGCACTCTGCTCACCCACTTTTAAGTCATGAGTCGCGACCCATCATGACTGCTAGCGTGTTGACGATATTTTGAAAGTCAACAGACTCGTCCGATCATAATCAGCAGACGAAGAACTCGCCATGACTGTCTCGGAAGCGAATATGCCAGGGCTTTAGATGTTCGCATCCCCGGACCATCGGGACCAACTCGGATTGCAGTGGAAGTTGGTGTAAACTTTAATAGCACGGTGCCGGAAACCTGAGCCCTCCGGCACCACGAGTCAACATCCTGCCCTCACTTCATCTCCTCGAACACGACTTCACACTCATTCTTACTTCGGATTTACTTGCTTTTGCTCCCACCTGCCCCTCCGTGATTGTATCGTGGACTTGACTGTGATTCGATGCCGCATATTCTGGAAAACAGGTGTAAGTTTATCTCGAACTCGACATTCATTCTGATGCGATTAGAACGGGCCGACCCTAGCCTCACAAAAGCATCTGTTTACCTCGAAGTCGAATCAACTCCATAATTCTATTGCAAGCGCTTATTCTCATGCACTCCTCAATGGATCTCCAATGTTCTGATGCTCTCCCCCAAGGAGGACCGACGAGGAAGGCAGCTAAGACCGCTGGTTTGGCCGCGTAGTGGTGGTCTGGGTATATTTTCTTGTGCAAGGTACATTGCCCGCTGACGAGCGTAGTTGGCAAGGGCGTTGCATGATTTGCGATGTGATCGCGAGTTATAGAGAATGTGTAGAGGATGGGGTAAGCTTCGAATGCAAGACTGGATATCTTCCCTTGACAGCCTCTCCAGACGACGGGTCAATTCATCAAGAGGGAGAGACATCCAGGATGCAAAAGAGTGACTGCAGGGCCGATCAGGCACATTGTCGATAGAACCGTTATCTATAAGTGGACGACGCAGTGCAGCAGCAACATCAGCACCATTCCACTCTCGTCCAGACGTGATCGGAGGAACGTTCATCACAAAGAATAAAAATGCTTGATGTGGGTCTATACTATGCAATGATCCGTCCCCGTAGATTTAATGATAGAGAAAATAGACCAGTCATTTTACTTTAATCGTCTGCCCGTATTCTCCACGCCTTCTGCGAGGTGCATCTCCGAAGATATCGTCATGCCCAGAACCCCGAGGTGCCGGCGCAGAAGGAAGGTAATGATGAGGAAACTGAGGGGCGACTGGATAACTTGGCCGAGAATGACCAGCTTCGTGACGTGAGCGATACAGGGAGAACAACGAATTCACGAAGACCGTCAAGAAAGTTAGTGACGTCAACGTAAAAGCCTGTGCATGAATATGTAATCAGTACAGTGCACCGATCAGCAGGGACTCGCATGTACTAACCAATGTCTTCCAGCTAATAGGCTCCACAAAGCCATTGATGACATCCGCAATGAGTTCTGCACCTACTCGAGCATGGCCAACCATGTTTGGGTCGCGATCCATGCATGTTTTCCAAGATGCACATTGTTGGATCATGGCAGGCACAGGGTTGCTTTCACATAGGTTGTTCCTGTATTGTGTCGCACACATGCCGATCTCTTGCATGATATCTGACCAACAATTCATTTCAGTAGACGCATTCACCGGGATGAAGATCATACCCATTGAGTATTCTGAGATGCGGTGGGCAACATCACGTTGTACTGTGAGAATGAACTGCACTAGGAGATAAAGAAACACCATGACCAAAGACAGGTTGAAGAAGAACTGTAGATATCTTGAGAAGCATGATCAGCGTACTCGGAGAGAGTAAATACAAATGGCCTCACCCTAGCAGAACCTGTGGCGTATCTGTTCGTGGTGCTGGGTTAGCCGGTATGTTGAGTGTGTAGTGGTTTGACGTGTTTTGTGTCACGGGTACATGATCTATATCGCCATCAATTTCTTCCTCGCTGCCGTACCTCAGGTCGTCACGTAATGATACAACGTGTTGGCTTTTTGTACGAGCCTTCTGCCTCGAGTTGAAGACCCTTCTGAGCGCCCCTGTGGCAACCATTCTCCCGTTTTCTTTCTCAGAAGCCTCAGATTTAGGAGGACTAAGCTCGGACATGTCCACATCGCGCAGCTCTTGCACAGGAAACACTTTCTGAGGTGAGAAATTCATGGGAGGCACCCACGGGTGGACTGGAGGAGTCTGCAGTGCTGGAGTCTGGAAAATGAATGGCACGTTGCGGTTCTCTCCAAATATGGGAGTTTGAGGTGGCTGAGGAATTGCCGGACTCGTGGGTTGAAGGTCATCAAATGGACCTGAAACTTGTTAGTAAGATTCGAATTCAAACATAATGAAAACACACGTTTTCGGGGTGCATTCGAGCCATTATTAGCCCAGACTGGCTTTGTATTACTGCTGGGGCGAGACGTAAACTGGAAGTCCATTGGAGCCTCCGTCGATCTCTGTGTATGCGTGTGAGTGCTCATAATGTATGCCTTAGCAGAAGTAAACCGCTGCTATGTAGTTCAGGGCGCCTTGTAAACCGAATGCCACAAAACGTGGTCAAACAGGTAAGGTGCGAAAGGCCACGGTGCAGCTGAAGCGCTGACGGGTTGAGTGCAAGTTGCAACATTTGGACCCACCTGGCAGCGGCTGGTACAGTGTAATTAGTAACTTCCGATCGAATATTGCTAAACGTCGTCTCTTCTGCCGAGGACTCCAGACGGACGTGTCGCTACCGTGACTGCGAGTCCGGATCTAAGTCAAGTTAAAGTCAAGTTAGTCACGGATGTGATCATGGGAGGGCTCTGACTCGGTACTCAATGGCAACCATTGCCATGACTTGACCAACTCGGCGTTGGCGTCAATAGCATCTCTTGAATGAAAAGAATTAGTAGTTGGTGACACAGCCGCGGCGAAGCCCGAGTCGTGGTTCCTACTAATTGGAAACATAAGGAACTCGATACATTCCACTACTGACCTACTCAGATAGCTAGTTTTGAAACGTGGGTTAAGCCCGTGCCATAATATGTGTGCTCAACGCATCACGTTGATCATCTGTCAGCGATCGGAAAAGCTTGACAAATGCATTGTACGTAGGCTGTCTAGCGATGGTATCGAAATCGAGGGGGGAGAAACACCCGGTAGACAGTTCGTTTAAGCCCCAAGTGTGTAGTGTGCTTGAGTACGCGAGGAGGGGCTCAAAATTTTGCGTCGGGCTGATGTATCGCCAATATTGGCGATCATGGAACAGTAAGTGTTTCACAAAGCCTATGACTGCTCAGTGCCCGAACGGTAGGTTAGTTATTATTCCCAGCACCTAATACAACACTGTGATCAATCATAGAACTAAAAGGAAGGAGACCTCAAAACTTACGCTAATGGGTCCTTTGAGATATACGTAATCCCTGATAAGCGCCTCGACGAACGATTTAACCACTGGCATGGTTTGCGTGTAGAGGGGGATTTGGTACTCCAGCACCACCCAAGCTCTTGTAAGTTCCTTTATATCATCTCTTAAAGCCGCAAGAACCCCAAAAAATTTCTGTACCCCCGCCTGCCCTACCGCCGTTATGGACCATTGGACTGACAGAAGTCTGTTATCAGATGGTAATATTTTAAAGATTCAGAGACTTACTGCTATCAGCGTATGATTCCAGTGTTGGACATAAGATTTTGCGCACCATTTTGATGACTTCAAGCGGTTCGGGCATGAAGGCCCCATTGAATATGGAGCGATACATGGCCTCCATGAGTTCACCTTCCCCCTGGATGGGGTTGCGACATCGAGCACCCCTCGAGGGGCGATTTCTGTCGTAAGGTTTAATACGTCGCACAGGACGTGAGGAGATGCGGGTGGTCGATAGGGACGTATATGCTATGTCATCGTCGAAGGTGAGTTTTGGTAAGATGTCGGGGTTTTGCGAGCTACCGGAGGGGCCTGCCTCCTGGTAGCCGGCTTGTGAACCAGACGTGCCAAGATTGTCAAACAATCCCTGTACCCAGTTGATTGCTGGTACCTCTGGTGGAGGATTTGGGACTGGATCGTGGTAAGATGTAGCAGGGGGGCGGGTCTGATTAAATTGCAGGGTTGGTGGTGCTTCAGGGTAGAGAGAATTGGCATATAAATCGGGTCCGGGACGGGAGTCATCTTCGTGGAGAGTAGGCCAAGGATTATTGCTGTAGAGACTCGGAGACTCAAAGTTCAGCGGAGCAGGCTGCAACTCATTGTGTCTAAGTGAGGCGAAAATTCCATGAATTGGTAAGCTAGGATTAACCTGCGAAGACTGAGTCATTGAGTTGCTTTAGTAACAACTGATCATCGTGATTCACCGGCGCTGGGTGCGTGACTGCGTTTCTATGCGATCTGGAAGGCTCAGACTCGTTCGAGAACAGAGTCTGACGTGACATGTGTACGTAGTACAAGTCAGTTTTGACGTGAGTCTAAGAATTAGTGAGGTGGCTGCGCGGTGATGATAAGTTGGTCGCGGAAGCCTATCTGGCATGACTTGCAATCGATAATCGATTCGGACTCAGATCTAATTATGATCATATCCAATATCAGATCTTGAAAGTCGTTCAGTCGCGTCACAACACCTCACAACACGCACAAGACGCGGATGGTCAAAGAAAGTGTGCTTACCAAGCAATTTTTTGATGCAGATACGGTATCCTAGGTGGCATAGACACGGTGAGCCATTGGTTTAGAGAATCCTTATCACTTCTTCCTTACCTTGATGTCCGGCAGTCTACATCCGTATTGCGGATATTCCTGCTGGCCATGATACTCTATCCCGATGTCCAAGCCAGGGTTCGTGCAGCAATAAATCAAGTTGTGATGCATGATATGTTCACCTCGTTCCTCGCATATGTTAACATCTGTATTGGACAGTAAGGTCGCAGCTCTCACGCCCTTACCTCACCCTACTACCATCAAACCTGATACCAGGTCCGAACATGGGACACGGTATGTCTCTGCGATCGTAACGCCACTCGGAGAACAAGATGGAGCGGGGTTTGAGTGAGTTTTCCTGCATGCCCTCCCCCAATATACAACGACGAATCGGAGGATTGAAATAATAGACGCTAACGTCCATTCACAGCACATCCCCGCATATTGCATCTGATGGTAGTTTACGAGCACAGCTAGAGGCGAGGTTGGTGAAAACTGAGGAAGGAGGGAAAGAGTGTGTATGGTGTGACATCAGTAAGCCGCTCGCCGCCTGTATTGTTTTTTTGCTCATCCTTCTACAGCGACTAAGCTTGAAGTTGGCAGCACGGTAGCGCTAGCTGCTGCCATGTTCAGCCTTTGCATGCATCTTGAACGTGTAGCCGCCATTCGAGACCTCAGCCTGACGCACTCTAAAAAGTGTTGTCGCCAGATAGTGGAGTCTACTTTGTGCTTCGGAGTTCCTCTCATATACATGGCCTTGCGTGCGTCCCGTGCCTTTCGTATCATTGTCTTACCTAACATATCCCAGACTACATTGTCCAGGGACACAGATTTGATATCATCGAATGTTTTGGTTGTCGTCCAACAATCTATGTGTCTATTGCTTCTATATTCTTGATTTGGGTTCCGCCATTGGCTTTCTCTCTTGGCGCTGGCATATTCACAGGTGAATATTTTTCTGCCTCACAGCACTATCCATTTTGACCTTACAAATGCCTAGCAACCGCCTTCTCGCACTTCTGGAAACGTCGGGCATTATTTTCCAAGCATCTCAAAAATACTGGTTCAGCACTCACCCCTAGTCGCTATTTTCGCCTTATGAGCATGGCAATCGTCGAGATGTTCTTTGGCTTGCTGGTGACTATACTCAACATGTGGTGGACCATGCGACCAGGCCTTCGTCCTTGGATTAGTTGGGAGAATGTGCATTCTAACTGGCTAGAAGTCGCCTTGCCATTATCCCTCCTTCGGAATTAGCCTGGACATTCGCTCTTTGGTTCATGATACCGATTGCGTCCGTTTTCTTCTTCCTTTTCTTTGCGTTCGGCCGAGACGCAGTCAAAGAGTACGGTGCTACTTTTAGATGGATTCAGCGTCATGTCCTCCGGGTTCAAGATCGACCATCTCCAGGTCTCTACCCACTAATTACGGTAGCGAGGTATCTATTTTTTTGGCCATAGCTCCTCCCAGTCTGTTGACATATTTGATCAGACCATGCAACATGCCTCAGTCCTCGACCATCGATTTGCGCAACAAGAAAAAGGGAACTCCCACCGGAATACCTTATTCCACGTCTCCTTGCCATATCGACCTAGCCAGAGGCACTGGCCCGCTCAAGTCGGACTGTGCGCCAGCTCTCCCGTATACCAGCCCTCCAGCATCAAGTTATTTCAAATACCAAGAGCAATACTCTCGCGGAAGTGACCGTGATGGTCGCCCTTCGGGTATGCATGCAGTATAAGGACTTTGCATTCGTACATTGGCTTTACTATCATTTGTATATCAGCCTTCTCTCCATTCGTTCGAACTTCGTACCTGACGATACAATCACTGTCCCTACATTTTCCAAGTCCCTTCACTGTACCCGTATGATGTACCTCATTTGACGAGGACTTTGCATTCGTTCATTGACTTTACTATCATTTGCATATTCTCTCCATTCGGTCGTTCGCACCTGACGATACGATCACTGTCCCTACATTTTCCAAGTCCCTTCACTGTATACCCGTATGGTGTGCCTCATTTGACGAGGACTTTGCATTCGTTCATTGGCTTTACCGTGACTATCATTTGTATATTCTCTCCATTCGTCCGTTCGCACTTGACGATACAATCACTGTCCCTTCTCGAAACACAGACTATCACGTCTTGCTCACAAATATTCTCTTGGATCAAGTCAAGACTTACCAAGGACATGGTCCCGCAGAAGGGCAAGGCGCTCATACTACTGCGCACTCTCAATGATCTTCTGCGTCGCCTTTCAAAGATGGGCTCTACGACGATATTTTGTGGTCGTATATTGACCTTTCTGAGTGGCGTTTTCCCTCTGGGTGAAAGAAGTGGTGTCAATTTGCGAGGAGAGCACGGACCCATGTGGGAAGGTGTCAAGGACGTTGAGAAAAAGGACGGTAGGTTAGAACTCTGTCGTGATGTTCTGTGCCTCATGTCATTCTCAGGTTTCTACACTACGTTCTGGTCCCTGCAACTGCCTTTCTCCCGGCCCCCATTGTTTGCTTTTCCCAATACATTCGGAGAATTTAAGGATGCTGTAGACAAGGTTCTACCTGTCATCAAGGAGGCGACCATGAAGGAGCGCGCCATGATGGGCAATAGAGGCACCAGTGGTACAAGCAACAACCTAAAATGCAAACGAGAACCAGAGTTGGGTGAAACGAGTAATAATAGCGAATACTTCTTCGCAAAGTTCTTGACAAGTCCACAAGCGCGAGCCAAGGCAGCTGCTTTACAAGAGTCCAGTACACGGCAAGAGATACTAGCTCCCGCATCGACACCAGCAGAACCATCCAAAGTGGAGCTGCCAGCAGCTTCGTTCTCTGCTTTGCTATCGACACCCAGTATCTCCAGCTCGCCCTTGCATACATCACTACCCCCAAAACCTGGCTCATCCCCAATAAAGTCATTCCTAGAAGCGGGCGCATCAAGTCCTGCTCGTCCCCCAATCACTCTCACTCTCGCACCTCCGTCCTCAACGATAGAAGCACCCTTGCGGAGTATATACCTCTGCTGCAGACGTGGAAGACGTTAGGAATAACCCCTACAACATGGTAAGCAGTGGAACAGTCCGCTCGTTTAGATCTGCTCAGTATTGACGGTACTTAGATATTCTCATCTTCGCCTATATGGGTACTAGAGGTGTCCGCGGATGTGGACGATGAACTTGTGTTGACGGTGTTCATGATGCGGGTATGCGAGGCTCCGTGGCCTCATTTGCGGCTCTGATGAACATCAATAGGTCGAGGAGCAGCCCCATCATTCTGACAAGTGGCGCGAAGCGTTGAGAACAATTGCAGAAGTGAGGGACAGCAGCTGGCTGCGTCATTTCTAGAGGAAGGCAAAGATCGTAAGTACCTTCCCAGGTTTTGATGTACTATTTAACCGAGGCGCTTCAGCTGGAAATATTTCAATGCGTGCTGATCTTCCAAGAGGCCTGAATCAACTTGGAAACACCTGTTATTTGAACTCGCTGCTCCAATACTTCTAAACAATTAGGGAGCTTCGTGAAGCTGTCGCTTCCATGGCCAACATTGATGTGAAGGCCCTTGAAGACGAGAGAAGGAAGTACTCGGAGGACGACCTGAAACGGCATCGGGTTGGCGGACGGCTAATTACGCGGCGCGAGATACTGTGATCAAAGAAATGTATGTCTGCCACCCACTCCTTTTACCCCGAGCTAAAACTATCATCAATGTAGTCGTCAGTCAGTTGTCCGATTTATTTTGGCAGCTCCAATTCTGTGAGAACCAGGCTGTCACACCGACTATCGATCTTGCGAAGTTAGCACTCGTATCGTAACATCAAGAGACGACACAGATGCAACGCTTGTTGAGGACGGGCCCGTGCGGTCACCTGACTCAAATGGCTCGGTTCTCAGTAAGCGGCCACGCGACGAGCAACGCATGGATATGGATGTCTCCTCGCTTGCATGGGGACAGCTCGTCAAGCACGATGCCACTACCATCCCCGCTTCCAGATGTGGAGGTTGTGAACCATGAGAACCCGCAGGTTGAGGAGCAGAAGACGGCTCCTCCCTTACCTACACGCAAGCCTACTCAATCAGACTCGGTCATGATGTTTGGTGAGGCACACTATACTCTGAATGATGTCATGTCTAAATACTTGGATGTAGGAAAGCAACACGATGTCTCTGAATGCATGGACAATTGCATGTTCCAGATTGAGATCGCGCTTCTGAAATTCGATGGGCTGGGTGACTCGGACAATCAGAATAGTGTTGTGAAGAGGCAAGTACTTTTAAATTCCATCGGGTACATACATGAACCTGTCATTCGCCAGGCCATTCTATGGGCAATTGTGGCAAAGACTTACACAAGTCCCCGCCCAGCGACATCCCAGAACTTCGACACATGAGAAAGAAGACCTCTTCTCGCATCTTCCTGTGAATGTAGCCGATAGCGGCCTAGCTATACTAGTGTAGGCTACCAGTAGTGACGTGCTTAAGTCCGCAAAACACCGAGCCGGTGGCATTCGTGCTTATTAGTAAAATAACCTGGCCATGTCGGGCACCGGGACTCGAAGTTCGAGTCAAACTTCATGCGCATTCAAGCTGGCACAGCACGAGTTATATGGCTCATTTTTCTTTTGCTCTTTGTTAATTTGATGATATCTTGCAGTGCCCCAGGCTGTCCATGGGAAAAAACAACCGATAGTAGTCGAGGACTCAACAGGCATCGTGCATCATGCAAATTTTACCAGCGGTCCAGCGTTCTAGCTAGCGAGAAAAGAAAAGAGAGGGCTAGAGACGCGGTAGCTGCTAGACTAACTCTGACACAATCTGCGACCGTTCAATCAGGCTCAACTAACTCTTTGGTGAGTCTGGTAGTTGAAGTTCTACATACACTCGAAGTTCGGAAGCACAAACACGTCTGACCAGTCGTGATCTTTAGAAAGTATTGCCGGTTCGCCGGCCCCGTGCACTGGCAGAGCATGACCGCTCAAAGCCCATTATTCCCTGCAAATCATTAAGCAGGGACCGCTGGACGAGCCAAGCTAGCTTGTCTGCCGGCATAGCAGGTTTTGAAACTCATCATGAAGGCTTCGACAACACGGCACCGTTCGAGGCTGATGCTATGGGTATGTCTTCAGCAACGGGTCACCTAGCAGTCGACTGATACCTGAGTTACTGTTTTGCGCTTCACTTATCAGAAGAACCTTCACACACTTCGATGGGACGAATACCGAAACATTTTGAGGATCTTCCTCTGTCTGACGAGGATACCAACAACTTTGATATAGCTGGTGTTTTGCCCACTCAAAATCCACGCCCGCCTCAATCTAGAATACGCAGAGTTCTATTAACGTTATGAGACACACTTCAGACTACTTTCAACTCTTTTGGACTTTCCCGACAGTACCCTCGTCGCCCATCCTTTGAGCCAGATAAATTTGTGCTCTCCTCATTACTTTCAACCATGTGTCCGACAACCATGCAAGACACCCATCCAGATATCCTCCTGCCTCCATATCCATTTCCTAACATGACAGTCTATAGACTCATGTCATGGATGAATTCTGGCAGTAGCCGGAAATCCGAGACTGAAGTTGCCCGTCTCGTGAAGGAAGTGATTCTGGCGGACGATTTTGATGTAAAGCATCTGGAGGACTTCTCGGTAAGGAGGAGTTTATGGGAATTGGACAGCGACCCCGGCAGGAAAATAGAGTGTTCGGACGATTGGACCCAGGCCAGTGTCACTATCGAGATTCCGACGAAATCAAAGGAGGAGGATGCGAGACCATTTTCTGTTCCCGGATTCCATTTTCGTCCCCTAGTCGAAGTAATTCGGTCAGCTTTCGTGGATATCCAAGCAAACGCATTTCACCTTTCGCCATTCAAGCGTTTGTGGAAGGATCCGTTGGACGACCATGAAGAGCGCATCTTCGATGAGTTATATACATCTGACTCGTGGCTAGATGCCCAAGACGAGGTGCAGAAGCTCCCAAGGGAGCCCGGATGCACACTGGAACGGGTAGTTGCTTCTCTCATGTTTTTTTCGGATGCCACGCATCTTGCGAACTTCGGAACGGCAAAGGCCTGGCCCCTGTACATGTACTTCGGAAATCTCACCAAGTACGCACGTTCTGCACCAAAATCTGGTGCATGTCACCTTGTCGGGTTTTTACCGTCGGTGAGTTGCCATATGTGTACAGTCGAAACATTATTTCATATTCCGTGTTAGCTGCCTGATAAAATCAAGGACGTTCTGAACGACTTGCCTCGAATATCAAAAAGCGGCATGGCTGCCCTTCACACGCACTGTCGACGCGAATTATTCCACGGATGCTGGGATATCTTACTAGACAAAGAATTTCTTCACGCATATCGCCATGGCATTATATTAAGATGTGCCGATGGTGTCTTACGCAGGATATACCCTCGTATATTCACATACTCAGCCGATTATCCCGAAAAGTGCGTTTAGTCGTTGAAATTTGAAGGATTACTCAAAGATTTTCAGGGTTTTGATTGCCACCATTAAGGACATGGGCTCATGCCCATGTCCCCGTTGTCTCATTCCGAAAAGTATGTTTTCTTTTCTAGGCCTTGTTAACGACATGAAGAACCGTATAAATCATCTTCGGGTCTACGTCGAAACCAACATTGTTAAAGCCCGAGGGTTCATCTATACGTGTGGAAACACTGTTGACGGTGCGAAGGTTGACGAGACGCTTGGAGAAGGCTCGTGGGTACCTGTATTAGTAAGTACAAGCTGTCTGCCGCTTTGTTGTACTGGCTTAGAAAATAACTCACAGAACAAGTTCGTCGAGAGGCTGGGCACGCTAGGCCTTAACCCATTTCAGATGCTCGTTGTAGACTTTATGCACGAATGCGAGCTCGGTACTTGGAAGGCATTATTTACTCACCTCGTCAGGATTCTTTATGCACTTCCCGGGGGGAATCAGCTGGTTTCGACTTTAGACTCGAGGTAAGTGGCGTTTGCATACTGCTTCTGTCGTGTAACAACTCTCTCCCATCATAGATTTCGTCAGGTTCCGATGTTCGGTAATGGGGTGATTCGAACATTTACGAACAACACGTCCGAGATGAAGAGACTTGCGGCACGAGACTTTGAAGACATCTTGCAGGTTGTTCTCGCTTTACTTACTATTCTCTACTTAGCTGATAGGGGCCTCTCTAGTGTGCGATACCTGTATTCGAGGGGTTGTTTCCACCTCGCCATGATGCGATTGTGCAGTCTCTTTTATATAGATTTTGCCAGTGGCACGCACTTGCCAAGCTAAGGATCCATTCAGAGTCGACACTGGGTCTGTTCAAGAACACATTCAAGATTCTCTCTAAACAGTTACGGAACTTCCGTAACTTTACTTGCGCTGCCTTTACCACTGTGGAATTACCGAAGGAGAAGGCAGCTCGCCAACGACGGCTTGCCCAGCATGCTCCTAATAATACTCCTTCAGAACCTGCCGGACCAAAGGTGAAAAGGTTCAATTTGAACACCTACAAGTTTCATGCAATGGGTGATTATGTACGAACCATTAAACTCTTCGGTACGACAGATTCTTTTACCACTCAGATTGTAAGCATTGTCTCTTCTCTTCCAAGGGCGTTTCTGAAATCATGTTATTGGCTAGGGGGAGCTGGCGCACAGAGCCTTGAAAGCATTCTATCCGCTAACTAGCAAGTTAGACACTCCGGCACAGCTAGCGAAACACGAACGCAGGCGCCGTGTACTACGGCGAGTCGCGGAGGCAGCTGGTATCTCTTCCTCGAGCAACCAATCACCGGCCGACTCTCCTGCCTCGTCATTGTCCAAAGACCATCATTTTATCGCAACAAGTCGAAACGATCCAGTTTCTTTGTTCCATTTCCTCAAAGAACACGACGATGATCCAGCTACTGAGGTGAAATGATTTTTTCAGCCCATTTAACCACCAGTTCGCTTAAGACTACTGCAGAACTTCATTCCTAAGCTAAAAGATCATATTTTGTATAGGCTGAGGAAGCTGGACGTTACTCATTGCGACCATACGTTCACAGATGAGGAACGTAATTCGGTTATCATTCCCAACAATACGGTTTACTCGGTACAAACGATGAGGGTACACTATACTACCTACGACATGAGGCGCGACTACAATACTGTCAATCCCAGGACACATGCAGATATTATGGTACTTTCAGGAGAAACCTCACCTAGCCACCCATACTGGTACGCTTGTGTACTGGGCATTTATCATATGGACACGTGGCTTCAAGACGTCGCTGGTCGAACCGAGACACGGCACCTCGAGGTCCTCTATGTCAGGTGGCTTGCACCATTAGTATCGTCAGGCTACCAGTCAGGCTTGCAACACGCTCGCCTTCCCAAGGTAGCATTTGTCGAAGAGTCGGACCGTGACGCGTTCGGATTTCTTGATCCAGGCCAAGTCATTTGAGGAGCCCATTTAATTCCCGCATTCGCTTCAAGGCGCGGTGTTAGTTCACTTCGCCATGGAAAATCGTTAGCACGTGCCGAGAAGGAGTTAGATGACTGGGAAGCATATTACGTTGGAATGTGAGTCCAGCGCGTCTTCTTCTGGCTTCAATAGCGACTCAAGCTATCTGTTGGACTTAGTTTTGTCGATCGCGATATGTTTCTGCGTTATACTCACTTAGGGGTAGGACACCCAGCAAGTCTGCGAAGGGTGGTGAGACACTGTTCTGGCTTCGATTCATCGGCACCTGTGGAAGCTATGGATGTTGATGAAGGCCAAATAAATGCGGGCCGAAATGAAAAAGATGACAACGAACAGCAGATGGATGATGATCCAGCTGAGGAAGAGGAAGGTGAACGTGGCGAGGAAGAGGAAGACGAGGAAGACGAGGAAGACGAGGAAGACGAGGACGAGGACGAGGAAGCATCTGATCGTGAGTGTGATGATGCTGGAGAGGAAGTGGACAATGACCTCTCCTTTTGATGTAAATCCTGTACGCGTGCCACTCTCATAACTGTGACTTAAGGTTGATTTGACTGGCGTTAGTAGGGCTAATGATGCGTATGATACTAATCTCCAAGTCACTCAAAACGTTTCGAAATTCGTCACCTGCAAGTCCACGGACCCGTCTACATCACGTGTGTATTTGACAAGTGTCACTTGTACTGAATGACGCCGACGCCATATTATCATCACAGTCTACATATCTCATGCCTCTCAATCTTGGCTTGGATGCTACATACAGCATGGACCTTGGGCATTCGTTGTCCTCTAGCGTTGTTGAATACCAGACAGCCGTCCTCCGTGGTGACATGAACTTGGCGGCCGACATTTTGCCCACTTTTCCTGAGGAACAGTTAAACAAAGTTGCTCTGTTTCTGGAGGGTCGAGGTATGTACGGTTTTAATTACTTATTAGGGCCCATGATTCAGCCTCTCTTTCCTCAGACCTCAAGGAGCTTGCTCTGCAGGTCACCACAGACCCCGATCACAAGTTCGACCTCTCAATGCAGCTCGATGACCTAGACACGGCGGTCAGGATTGCACGCTCCGTCTCAGAGCCAGAATCGGAGACGAAGTGGAAAGCAATCGGTGATCATGCCCTCATGGTATGGCGATTTGACCTGGCTCGGGAGGCGTTCGAAAAGGCGGGTGATTTGAGTGCGCTGATGCTTCTTCTGCTTTTGATGGGCGACTGAGAAGGGCTGCAGAAGCTTGCAGCGACGGCTGCTGAGAAGGGTGCAGAAAATTTGGCGTTTGCGACGCTGTTTCAACTGGGCGAGGCCAAACCGTGTGTGGATCTACTCTTGAAAACGAATCGTGCACCAGAAGCTGCGCTCTTTGCACGAACATATGCACCAAGGTATGTGTGATTCAGCCGTGAATGTAATTTTAAAACTGATTTCGGCACAGCGAAGTACCTAAGGTGGTCGACGTATGGCGAGACGAGCTGCGGACTAAAAATCAAGGCAAGATCGCAGGAAGCGTCGTGCACCCATCTGAGCATGCAGAACTATTTGAGGAAGGGTGGGAAGAGGCTCTTGCACGCGAGGCTGGTCTCTGTACAAATTCTCGTGACGTTGCCAAGCAAACGTCGTTTGCAGTTAACAGAACTACTTAAGTACGGGGTAAGTGTTAAAAGTGTCCGTAATGCGATGGGTAGGATGGAAAATGGCATTGATTGTGTAACGCGAAGGAGTGGAGATCTACTAGTACATCTTGCCTGTATTGACACTGGACAGTCTTGTCCTATTTGTTTCCAGTAGCCTAGAAACAATCCGTCAGGATAGATGATGACGGCAACAATATCACTCACAAGCGTGTTCGGTTCATTGTCATATTCCTAGATTAAGATGAGTGGATATCTGTACACAGGGAATCAAGTCACATACCTTCCTCTGCTCTTCCGAATCGTTGAGACTGCCATAGCAGACACGTAAGGCGAGAATGGATGTAGCCGCTGATGTGTAGCCGCTGATGTGTGTGTAGAGCCGTTTAGCGTCGCCGGCAGTGGATGAAGTCACGAGAGGATGGTCTTTAGTACCTTCGGGAACCTAGAAACAATTAGTTAGAATGGCGACAACAACTATTGTACTTACTAGTTTCCTTGCTTTAGCCGCGTCAAACGTCCAGAATAAGTTGGTGAATATGTGCACACAAGGCAACCGAGACTAGTACTCGAAGCTTCGGATCATCGTACTGCGTGCTCGTAGAGAAACCGTGACTGCGGAGGAGCTGCAGGCGCGCCTCTGCAATTGTGGCGTCGAGAGCTTCCAAATGATACAGAGGAAAGTAAATATTCAAACTTCCGTTGGAATGAGTGTTGTGAGTAGCGGAAGATAATACAAAAATGAACTCAATAAAAGAATTGAAAGTGTGGGGAAAGAAATCAAAAGAACTCGTTAGATGAAGCAAATAAAGCTATCGTAAAAGACATACAGATACGTCGAAACCAGAGGGAATGAGGAAATCAAAAATGAAGCATCGAAGATAGAATAAGATAAGTACTGCTCACACCAAATTATCAAAAGTGAAATCAAACAAGCTGAAACGTACTGTCAAGTGCAACCATCCCACTCTCACCAGACTCGGACTAGATAGAACTCGTAGCCCTCAAACTCCCAAACGAGATCCTACATGCGGCACGGCGAAACGTGGTTGGACGCGTCTGGGCTTAGCAGGTGTACTTTTGGATTGACTCACCAGAGTAGGTTGGTTTTTAGTAGCGCATGTCCGAGGCATGGTTAGTGGTAAGTAGGGGTTTATTTACGCGTTGTTTGCATATTGACAACAAGCCGATGTTTGGCTGTGTTAGGTATCATGTGAATTTGGTCTGTTTCGTCTTTCGATGACAAAGTCCCTGCCAATTCTCCTCCTTACGACTGTGCTGATCGACCATCTCCAATGTAAGATGTGACCGTTTGTTATTCTCATTATTCTGATTCAAAACCTTTGAACTCTACACGTTTGCCCTTGTGAGTTGGCTCAAGTGAAAGTGAGCAATTGCCCGATACTTAATTTGCTTCATGTAGATCCTCCCGCTTATCCTCACTTTGACCTGTATCCACGTGTTCAGACACATGCGTCCCGTGATGACACGGATCTGACGACCAGCAAGTTCATCGCTACAAGTAGCACGTATCCCTTTTTGGTCATTTGTGAGCTCTACATTATGTCCTACTACTCGCTTTCTCACAAAGTACGCAGATCCTGCTGTGTATCCACACTTCGATCTGTATCCCGCCTGTGCGGCAGAATTAGCAAGTCGGGAGGAGGACATTACCAACAATAAGCTTTTCATTTCGAGCAGCACGTACCCCTTATTGGTCATTTGTGAGTTTTACATTATGTCCTCTTACTTGCTTCTCACGGAGTACCTAGATCCTGCTGTGTACCCCCACTTCGATCTGTATCCCGCCCGTGCGGCAGAATTGACGAGTCGGGAGGAGGATATGACCAATGGCAAGTTCTCTGTTCCAGTGTATCCCTTCCTTGTCATTTGTGAGTTCCGCATTCAGTTTTTTCTTAGCCATCTTCTCATAGTGTATGTAGATCCTGCCGTGTATCTGCACTTCGATCTGTATCCTGCCCGCGCGGCAGAATTAGCGAGTGAGGAGGCGGACATAACTAACAGCAAGCCTTCCGTTTCGAGTAGCACGTACCCCTTCTTGGTCATTTGTGAGTTCTACATCACGGTTTTTTCCCTTTTCTCACAGAGCATGTAGATCCTCGTGTGTATCCTCACTTCAATCTGTATCCCACTCGCGCTGCAGAGCTAGTGACCCGGGAAGAGTCCAACATTCTTCATGTGACTGCTAGTCCCCCTATCTCGTGATCTGTACGTCCTTCAATTATACTGCAAATGCTACCCAAACTAAATTAGCACGAAGAGACCAAGGCAAGGCTGGCATGGGACGACCCTAAGGCTAACCGTGGTTATGTTCAAGTTGGCCGTGAGCGTGTCACCACTTCAATGGATGCGGCCGAGATCGCTGTATTACGCGCAAAGGCTCCAGACACCAAGGAATCTATGGAAATCGGACGTGAAAATCATCCTACGTTCAGTAATAAGTGGCCTCAGGAAACTGAAGTACCTAGATTTAAGCAGACGATGCTCCACTTTTTCCAGGTACGTGCACGCAGAAATTTGCACGCATAATGATTTGACCCTGGGTCTCTGTTACCATAGACTTTCCACGAAGTGCACACTATGGTCATGAAATCGATTGCGTTGGGTCTTGACCTTCCTGAGGATTTCTTCGACAATAAGATCGATCGTCAGGACCATAGCTTACGGCTTTTGCTATTCGAACCTCTTTACTTTTAGGCAACGGTCAAGCCAGGGCCGCTTCTCACACAGGCGAGTCCGTTCCTTTTTAGTGACACTCAGCCGTCGAATTTGACTTGCCTCTTCTCTTAGATTACGGAACTTTGACACTCTTGTTCCAGGATTCCATTGGCGGTTTAGAGGTCCAGAACCCTCATACTAAGCATTATCAACCTGCTTCACCCATCGTTCGTTTTCTTCTCCTCGGCTTGCTCTTCGAGTTTTTAACTCTCTATCTCCATAGCCTGGAACAATTTTTGTCAACGCTGGGGACCTTTTGGCGCGCTGGAGTAACGATGTTCTCCGTTCAACTCTCCATCGTGTAGTTGCCCCGCCTGCAACGAAGATCAACGCTACCGAAGGCATGACGCCCGCACGGCAATCAATTGCATTCTTCTGCAACCCGAATTTTGACGCTATCATCGAGAGTTTGCCCACTTGCACGAGCACATCCAATCCAAGCAGATATCCTCCGCTTACTACGGAGCAATACATTGTAGGACGTTTGGCAACTACTTACTCATGAAATACGCTCAGACACGAAATTCTGACGGTCAAGTATCATATATTTTCTATAGTGCAAGCAACGACATACATTACGATTCGTATGCAGGGTGGTGTCCAGATGACCGAGTATGTATGCAAGAAAGCATCGTTCGGTCCACAGTTCATGGATAAGAGCATGTATATGACATGAAGTGGGTGAAATGCAAGATGGTGCAATCGATAATTGTTACCGTATGGCAGTCAAGTCATGCTCAGACTCGGAGGTCTTCTTTCTGAACATCCCAAGAGTGTGCTAGCCACCGCAGGCAACGCTCACTGCGGCTTTCCATGCGCCACCATCCCTGCGCACCACCACCGTTGGGGTCTTGGCTTCCTTTTCGTTAACACCCAACTCTCCTGGAGACTCTTCTCCCCCGGGCCATGGCCGGAGTGCGTGCAGCACACCGGCTTGGAAAATGGCCATGTTCAAGTTATTGTGTGTGCCGGCCGAACTTGAAATGAACACGATCATGATAGGATCGTCCGGGTCTGGGAATGGAACTAACATAGGCTCCGAGTCTGGCACGAAATCAGGGTTCTTGCGTGAAGCTTGGCATGTGACCGAGCTGGCCACCGTCACACCGACCGCACGCATAGCCTCACCGTTTGTCAGATGGCTCAAGTCAAGAGACGCCGGTGCCTGTCTGTCCCGTCGTATCATTCAAGCCCCAACCCCAACTAAAGGACCGCATAAGTAGATGGAAGGGTCACGAGGAAGAGTCCTCCCAGGCCGGTACTAGTTCGAGTCATGAAGTCTAACTTACCCTGTACTTGAGGCTTCTGTCGCGGCAGTCGATATCACGTACGTTGACCTTGAGAGAATTCTGGAAACTGCTTTCGTTGAGAATAAGCACATTCAGAAAACGTACGACAACTTAGATTTATCACAGTATCATAGATAGCCATATTTACCAGGAGAAAAGCATACTAAAATGAGGGAGAACGAGAATAGTTAGCAACCTTGAGAAGAATGTGCTGCCATACCTTGTGTGTTGTGATGGTGCCGTTTCACGACTTTGTGGTGAACTTTAATAGCATTGTACACTAGTGGGGCAACGCCAAAGCCACTTCCCGCGAGAAGGTCATGGATGACCTCAGATAACATCTTAATTTAGAAGAAAAAAGAAAACAGTAAACGACGTTGAGAGGAATGTGCTACCATACCTCATGTGTTGCGATGGCGCCATGTCACGACTTTGTGATGGACTCTAATAGGAATATAAGTTAGATGAGCAGTGCTAGAGCTACTTATCACGATAATGTCTTGAATAGTGTCGTAATTCAACATATAAATAAGGCAAAACGACAATGCTCGAAATAATTGGCACAAGCGAACTATCGCCCCCCATCTACTGCAAGGGCGCAATCTGACGACATCGTCGTGGATTGCTCATGTCACTCTGCATTTACGGATCTCAATGGCCATGTATCTACAAGTCAAATTTCTCGCAGTATATATGATATTATTTAGCAGGAACAGAATTGGATCCTTCTATAGTTCTTACGGCTACAATATCAAGGAATCATCAATTTACTGATGGTAGTCGCTTAACCGTATGAAAAGGAATATTGCTCTGCACAAGTACAAAAGTAATACAGATACTGTGAAAGTACAAATGAAAACTACTCGAGAATTTCTGGCGCTACATCTCTATCGGAAACATAGAGCGTACTTAGTTTTCACTGAAGAGCTGAGTGTGGTTGAGGATTAGGATTCTTAGGTTGGGTAGCATTGCTGAAGACTAGTACTTACCAGCAAACCAAGCACTTAAGCCGGCTTTCATATCCTCATCACTCTTGTCCATGGTAGATCGGTAAGATTCTACGGCTGCTCCAATTCTACCCGCCTTAAAGAGTGCATGGCACTGTTGCTGGTGCGCGTTCTGCCACAAGGACTTGAGGTCCCAACCAAAGAGCTGCAAAAACACACAAATGAGCGCACTGTTGTAGCGGGGCACTCTGGCGCGGCAGGTCGGGAGTGGCAGGAGTCCTAGCGCGGTAGCAGGAGTCCTGGCTCGTAGTCGGTAGTCCTCGCGCGTGTCGTAGTCTGTCCTCGATAGATAGAGCTGTAGCCTCCCGCTATAGAGGTTTGGCCTTGGTTCCCCTTGCAGTCCTCCCTGTTACACTGTTCAGTTGCATCATATCAATGCACCACGACAAATTCCTCGTATGTAGAATGAATAGCCGACTTATAAAAGAAAGCACTGGCGTTGATGGCGGTAGTAAAGTGGTCAATAGCTTCGTCGTAGAACTTCTGATTAAAGGCCGTGTTTCCTAGATTTAAGGCCGTGTTTCCTAGATGAACACGTAGATAGGCCTGATGCAGAAAGGTCAGTGCCAGCATACTACCTGAATCTCATCAAATAGGCGATGCTCACTTCCACAACACGACAAGCAAGAGTATCGACATTGGGAGAGATGGCTAGTTCTTCGACACGTAGCATTGCCTCTTTATGTTGACCCGCGTTGAACAATGCGATGGTCTGAAAGTCGCAATGAAGCACTGAGGACTATGTAAAAGTTCTTTTACCCGCCTTTATCAAGAACAGGAAATGAGTGGTCTTTAAATCTCCATTAGTGAATGCTGATGCGAGGTCAAATGCCGTGCTGGCCGCGGCCCCAAATTTCTTTTTCCCGAAGAGGGCAATGCCTTCGGAGATATGGCCTGCAAAAGAAGGCTGAATTCTGACGGACTATGTCACCATAAAAGTTAGCTTCATAAGGTGGCCGTGATGGGTCAAGGTATATTACATTAATTGCATCATGGAGCGCACGGTCCCAGTCAGATTTTCGTGCCATGACAAATGCGCGGTTGGCATAGGAGGTGTAATTATTGGCATCTGTGTCAATCTCTTGATCTAGCACTATTTTAGTGGCGCGCGTTCCACCAGCTATACACGCCTTTCGAGCGTCCGAGTTCATAGCAAGGACCTGCATCCAATCTGTTCATATCACAACATAAGAGATAAAGGTGGGAACATGCCTTGAAATCAGAATAGGCTTGGGCCGTAACCTGAAAGAAATATTTAGCTGACGAAGAGGCACGAAAATGATGCTAAATTACCTGGTGCATCACCCGCTCCTTGGAATCGTCCTTTGAACCATCCTTCAGAACATCCTTTAGATGATCCTCTGGCAAAGCGCCCTCAAATACTGGCCACTCTGAGATTTTATCCTGGTCTCCGCTGACGATTCGCCTGTCATCGGCGGAAAAGGCGATGCACCACACCTCGCAAGGGTGTTTGAATGAGACGATGGTTCGTCGATCAGAGATACGCCACAGTCGGACACGGTTGTCCTCAGATGCGGAGGCAAGGAGAGTGCCGTTAGAATTTAGGGAAATGGCCCGGATACTCTTGAAGTGGCCCTTCCAGGGATCACCGACCTGCTTCCAGGTCGATGTGTCCCACTCGCGTATTGTCGGATCCTTGCTACTGCCCGCTGAAAAAAGCCGTGTACCATCGGGCATCCAGACGAGCGAATTATTGTATGATTTATTAATTGCAATGTGACCCTCGAAGTTTGCTACGCATTCCCTTCTGCCCGAATCGTAAATTTGGATATTGCTGTGCGTTGCAATTGCAAGAAGCTCGCCAGATGGCGAAAACCAGACGCAGCGGACACTAGGCTTGAGGACATCTCTAAAATGGCCGGTAATGAGCAAACCCTGATCAGCCCGATTTCTGACATCAGGCTGGTGAAAAGTGATTGGATTTCCTAGCAGCTCCCAAGTCTTTGTGCACCACAGTTTTATCATTCCATCTTCGGAACCGGTCGCTAACAGTGAGCCGCCAGGAGAGAAGGCTAGTGATGAGATCCCACCGGAGTGGGCTTTGATGGCTTGAGTGAGAGATTCCCCGATGTTTGAATCCCAAGCGATGAGCATCCCTTTGTCATCACCACTTGCTATCAATTGCCCATCTCGCGATACAGATAATGCATTCATGAAGCTGGATGAATGCCCCACCAATCTTTTCAACAGCACACCCTTCTTCATATCCCACAGACGAATGATATTCCACGAGGCCGTGACCATGCGTTACCCGTCAGGGGAAACTGCGATTGCGTTTGTGCGACATTTATCATTTATATTTTGACCATTGATGACTATAGAACCAGGTCCACCTTTATGATCTTCAAACAGTCGAAGGGGTGTGGGGTTTGGAATGAGCTGCGCCATTTCTATTAATATCGTGGGCGCACCTTGCTACTAATGTGTCGGTACCTAGATTTCAAATTTCAATTGTAAGAAGTGGACAACCAGATACGTCTGCACCAACCGAACAGTGAGGAGCTACTAAGCTGTCATTTCTTTATTCTGCGACTCGGAAATGATGATTGTGACATGTTACAACCAGAAACAAGAAAAGCTCTAATGCTGGGAAACCAGGCTCCAGTCCGAGCTTATAGGAGTCACCAAGGCCCAATCGAAGCACAAAGTTGTCCCAGGAGCTCTCTTGATCGGCACTTTTGTATATAAACGTTCCTAAACAAGGTTATCGTGCGCGTGTTGCGTGCTGATCAGAATGTTGGTCCTCGTGAATCTCGTCGGTGAAAAGCGTAGTAAGTGGCGCACCGGTTTCAGTTGAAGCTGATAGACTATTATAGGACTGACTTGGAGTTTTGTGTGTACGACAGAAGAAAGCGAGAAAGCGATGAAGACAAGAAAGAGATTGGATTGCCTGTGACGGTGAACGGCAGAACAGGTGCCGTGCTGGTCATTATGAAAGGCAATGCATTAGTCATTGTTTGTTCCCGGACCTTGAAGCTTGAAGCTTCAGGGGAGTTGGAGGCTGACTTGTGCCAGACATTGACCGTGACGTTGCCAATTCTGCGAATCGCTACTAAATATCGACGGTCTCTTCTCTTCCATCCCAGACAAAACAATGAAGCCTATGCAGAGTTCAGGTATATATAAGCCGAAAGGACCCACCTCATATGATCCTTCACTCGCATTACACAACCCTGCTCTGTAGACCATGTTGACACTCGCCAACGTCACTTGGGTCGACATACAACTATGTCTTGCTTGTGCTGGAGTATATTTTCTAATGTGGGTCTTCAACAAGAAGAATCCTGCACCATATCCGCCTGGTCCCCCGGGGTGGCTTCTCATCGGGAACATCTTAGATATGCCTCACATCAAGCCCTGGCTCACCTTCGCTACGTGGGGCAAGAAGTATGGTAAGTACCTACTGTTTCATCGATATCATGCATCTCAAGGTCTTGCCTGCAGGTAATATCTCGCACATCGAAGTTATGGGTCAACACATTGTGGTGCTGAACTCTGTCAAGGCTGCGATAGACATGCTAGACAAGAAGAGCACACTGTACTCTGACCGTCCTATTTTTCCTGTTGGCGGTGAACTTGTTGGCTGGAAACACAGCCTGGCCCTTCTCCCTGATGGTGACCGCTTTCGCCGGTACTGCAGGAACCTCCACCACGTGATTGGCAGCCGAGCCGCAGTAGGCATGTACAGCCAGATCGAAGAGGTCGAGACTCGCCGATTCCTTAAGCATGTGCTCACAAAACCCGGTCAACTACAGGCACACATCCGACAGTATGTATTATTTGTCTCTGCATCAACGTGATCTTGATTTCTATAGCACCGCTGGTGCCATCATCCTGCGCATCTCTTATGGTTATGAAGTGGCGAAGAACGACGATCCTTTCGTTGACCTTGCGGATCGCGGTCTAGATTTATTCTCGCGTTCCACTGCTCCTGGTGCTTTTGTGGCTGATTTTATGCCATTCTGTAAGCTATAGTATCCCGATGTTTGCTTCTATTTCCCTCACCATTTGTAGTGGTCAAAGCCCCCGAATGGTTCCCTGGTGCCGGCTTCAAGCGCCTAGTCCCTGAATGGCGTAAGACCGTCGAAGAGATGGTTTTTACACCGTACAATTTCGTCAAGGATCAGATGGTGATCAACATCTGTGGTTTTGCGATCATGTGTAGAATTTTAATTTTTACAGGCAGCTGGAATTGCCCCGGAGTCTTTTACCTCGAATCTGTTGGAAAAACGTACGTTGTCCGTAGAAGACGAGCATGTTGTGAAGTGGTCTGCTGTGTCTCTATATGGCGGCGGTGCCGACACGGTTAGTCCCTCCCCATCTATTGCTAATCAGAGTATTACCCTACTTTCCTCAGACTGCTTCTGCGATCTACTCGTTCTTCCTGGCCATGACACTATTCCATGATGTACAGAAGAAGGCTCAGGCTGAAATAGATGCTGCCATCGGTCCCGATCGTCTTCCCTCCTTCGCCGACAGAGGCTCTCTCCCCTATACTGATGCACTTGCTAAAGAAGTACTACGATGGAATGTTGTCGTCCCTACCGGTCCGTGTATCTTGTTTATCACATTCTTCAGTTGCTGAAGGGTATCTCAATGACAGGTATCCTCCACCGTGTCACTGAGGATGTCATTCATGACGGGTATTTCATTCCAAAAGGTTCCTTGGTAATACCTAACATTTGGTTGGTACACCATTCTCTGCATTTGATATTTTAACAGAATGTAATGTAATGACAGGTTCATGCTCAACGACCCACAAACATATGCTAGTCCCTTGCAATTCAACCCTGAACGCTTTTTGTCTAATGATGGAGAGAAGCCTGAGACTGACCCCCAGAAAATCTGCTTTGGTTTTGGGAGACGGTGAGCATAGAGTTGGTTACCTGTGAAATACTAACTTTGTGCTTCGCAGTATGTGTCCAGGTACGCTCAACTCACAGAAAACGCCGATAAATTTTCTGATGTTTCTTTTCTTTGATGTGTAGGTATCCACCTCGCTGAAGCCTCCGTCTGGATCTCCGTTGCGATGTCACTGGCCGTATTCGACATTTCCAAAGTCGTTGAGAACGGTGTTGAGATCACCCCTGAGGTTGATCCCTCATCCGGCACAATCAGGTATGTTACATATCTTATCGTGTCTGGCGTCGGTCTGAATAGACACGATTTCAGTCATCCGAAGCCCTTCAAGTGTTCTATTAAGCCCCACTCTGCGAAAGCCATCGAGCTTATTGAACAGGATGCTAACTACTAAGCGTGCGAAGATGAAAGCATACATGAAGGTGTGCCACATCGCATTATGGTACATGTCTGTGTATCGCTTTATTTTGTTATGAAGGATGATTTACTATCGCGCACGTCCGATCGGCCACTGAACAGACATGCATTACAAAGTAGCACCCCGCACGGACGGCAACTGTCGGAAAATGTGTAGCCAATAACCAAACTGGACTCGGACTGACTAAAGTTGACCCATCCTGGTGAACTTGGCGATTCGATTTGTCCTGAGAAGGGTCTGGTCTGGTCCGTTGACAACACATAAGCTGCTCCGAAGGTGGGATGTCATACAGGTTATCCTGGCGTATGGCACGGGTCCTGCCAAAGCTCTCGTCCATTTCACGCGATGAAAGGGGGTATAGGGAGGATGCTTGAGCCTTGAGCGCTCATATCTCTTGGCGCTGACTACAATACATTAGTGCGCAACGCGCTTCTGGATGATGAACCAGTCTGTGAGACGGAGGATCTCGAGATAGAAAACGGGTGCGTCAATAGTGGAGAAGGCCACAACCACGGAATCCCATCGATGGCTAGCACACAGCGCAGATAGGAGGCTTGGTCCCTGCCTACAAAAGTTTCAGAATGGAAAGAAGAAAAAGAAATACTGGCCCATTACAAGGGGTGAGAATGCAGAAAGATCCATTAGCGCACGCAAGCTACATAGACTCTAGACCAGTCCGTCTAGAGTCTACACACACGGAGTGGAAGAAGGGCAAAAGTTGAGGCCTCCAGAGTGTCCAGAATATTTCGATCCTGGAATATCCGGCCCATCCGAACATCCGACCTATGGCTGACTTAGCATCACGTGTAGTTCCCACGTACCTGATACGACAGCGACGTGTAAATGATAACCAAAATAGGTAAGAGCTAGTTTGGAAACCCATGTGAAGTCAGGTTGAATCAATTTGCAGTCGGCAAGCATGGTCGGCATGCCACCCCGAACGACTGACTTTCAACCTTGCTTGCATCGTACTACTACCGTTATCGCATCGATAATCGTAAGGATCTTGACAAGTGTTGTATCTCTACCAGCTCTTGCTGCGCATTACTGTAACTACTGTTCTCACTACAATGACACGTCCAGAGATCCAACAACGCCTCCTTCACTATGCTAAAATCCTCATCAGCATCCTGATATGTGCTACAGGATCCCTACTACAATCTACCTACTCCAAAGACCTGGAACCGTACCACACATCCATTCTCTCTGGTGAAGGCTGGCTTATGGAGCTTCTTACTGGACATCCAGAACACATTCGATGCGAACTGGGTATGCATGCACATGCTTTTGAAGCGCTCATCTCTGAGCTCCGTAACTTCAGTTATGTTGACTCCAAGTTCGTCTCATTGGAAGAACAAGTCGCTATATTCCTGTATACTAGCATCACGGGCCTGACTACCCGGCATGTTGGAGAGCGGTTTCAAAGATCGAACGATACGATTTCACGGTGAGCGTTATTATTTTTTGATCTATACAATACATCTAATATTTCCTAGTTATTTTAAAAGGATTCTACACATATTCTCGTCCCCCCCATTCTACACTACCTACGTCCACTTACCAGACGGCACTTCGGTCTCAAAAAAATAAAAAACAACCCCAAATTTTGGCCATTTTTCCGGGATGCTGTTGGCACACTCGACAGAAGTCATATTCATGCGTCGCCCCCTGCCTTCGAATGCACTGTATACTGTAATCGCAAAGGTTTCGTTTTGCAGAACTGTTTATTTGCTTGCGACTTCGACCTCAATTTTGTCTACTCTTTGACCGGGTGGGAGGGTTCAGCTAATGATTCTCGGATTTATGAGGATGCGCATGCGCATGACTTCCACATTCCACGACAGAAGTACTACCTAGCGGATGCAGGATTCCTGCTTTGCCCTGAACTTCTCGTGCCATACCATGGTGTCCGTTACCACCTCGCGGAGTGGGGCCGTGCAAATATCAGGTATGTTTTTCTAACTTCTTCATTTCTCTAACTTATATTTTGATGGCAGGCCCATCAATAAAGAGGAGCTTTTCAACCTACGCCACGCATCTGCACGAAACGTGATAGAGCACATCTTTGGTGTCCTAAAACGCCGCTTTCACATTCTCCTTTTGGCACCAGAGTACCCCCTCGACACTCAAGCACGAATTCCTGCTGCATTGTGCGCAATCCACAACTTCCTACGCCTACATGATCCTAGTGAGGATGAGGATGAAGAGTCGCGCGGCGAATCATACGCGTCCGAGAACCCTGATTTTCAGGGACAAGCTGACGACAACGATGACGACGATAGTGGTCACGCGGTGAGTGGTCGCGCAATGTGTGAACGCACTGCGCAAGCAATGTGGGATCAGTATCAGGATGTCATACACGAGAGGGCTTTGTTGGACTCAGGTTCAGACTCGGAGGTATCAGACGCATTGGACGAGAGCGAATTGGAAAGCGTAGCATAGAAACACATGTAATTTGGTATGGAAACAACAAGTACTTGGTATGGAAACAGCTAGTGATTGAGTATGAAAAAAACAAATGAGTGCATGCGAGATTGAACAAATGGCAGGTAAACTACATGGTGCTGGCAGCACAGTTACAACTGCGGACGGACATATGGCACTTGTGGTGCTTGCGGGACCTTCTGAAATCTATACTGGATCATGTGCTGGATGAATGCGTACCGCGTGTCTTTGTCATCGTTTTGAAGGTATACGTCGGTGACAGCCGGGTCATCTGCAAACATGTGCATGACAATGACCCTCTCCTGCAACGGATAGTAGTCTGCATCTTCCCCGTTCAAGATATGTAAGGCAGCGTGTCTCTGCTTCTCCAGCCTTTCCGCATCAGTAACCATACCCTTCTCGATCACATCGGTGAGACAATTGATGGACCCTTGCATGCCCACGACAGCTGCAGCTGGCGTGATCTTGGCTGCTCTTGCAGCACTGGTCATCATTGCAGATTGGCCACTGTCAGCGCGTGACTGGGTTGCACACGACTTCTGTTTCTTTGATGCTCGAGCCTCAGATTGTTGTGGCAGTTCAGATGTCGATGAAGGTACTGTGGATGCGAATGTGGCCGCATCATCATGGAACATGGATGTGGCATCGTGTGAGCGCTTTCCGGTACTGGAGGTTGTAGAGATAGTTGGTCGAGTGGCAGCACTAGACGGGGGAGGAGAAGCGATGGTATTGGTCCCGGACATAATGACATCACCACTTGTGCCAGCAGCGGCACTCATGGAGCTAGTAGATCCGCCACTCGTGCCAGCGATGGCACTCATGGAGCTAGCAGATCCAGGAGCCTGAGCTCCTGGGGCATCCGCCCCAGGCTCATCGTCAATGGAGGGCGCAGGAACATCGGTGGCTCGGAAAGCCGCTGCCCCTCGTGCGCCACCCACAGGTAAAATCTCCTGCATCCGCTCAAGATAGACCCATCCAGAGTTTCGGAAAGGGCGCATCGCAGAATTGGACTGAAAGAAATATAGTATTAGTAAAACAACATGACATGATAGTATAATGACATACCTTTTGCTGGACATATGCATCAAACACTGCTGCTGCTGCTTCCCCCTGGATGTTCGCACTGTACTCAGGGTGCCACTGATTGATTCCAGACTGCTTGCAATACTTATCAATAGCATTGTAGATCTGTTTCAACTAAACACATGTTAGCTGAGATCGATAAACGTAGATTGAAATCAGCAACTCACTGATGTCCACTTTGTCTGGCACATTTTGCCAGTCTTTTGTGGGCCCTGTGTCTTCTTGGGTGCGATATCCCTTGCTGCTCCATTGAATGTTACCATCTTGAAGTTGCCTCCTTCGGCACGCTCTGACCGATGTTCATGAAGGTAGTCGACCAGCGCAGTTACTTCTGATTTGGTCCAAAATGCCTTCTCTTTCTCTTGAGCCATGAGAACAGTAGTGTAATGCGCAGCAAGAGCTGTTAGAGATACAATTGTCAAGATATGTTTATGACGGGTGAGATGGACACCCTTGAGATTATCGATGCGATAACAAGATTCCATGGTGGTACACTGGTAGTAGTAGGATGCAAGCAAGGTTGAAAGTCAGCCGTTCGGGGTGTGCTGTGCTGACCATGCTTGCCGAATGCAAATTGATTCAACCTGACTTCACATGGGTTTCCGAACTAGCTCTAAGCATGCTCGTGTGCTCACTGCGTGCATTGCCGAAACCTTGGTGCTCGCTGTTGCACACAGCGAGCTCAATTATTTTACCTTTTTCACACTTTTTTTCTGTAATTCTTTCACTGTACCATTTAATGTCATGAAACATTAGTGGTACTCAAAATAAATTTTGAAACTCCTGAAAACTCGCTAAACTGCGTTCAACTCCCTTCAACTCTGCTTAAAGTTTGAAAGAACTTGTGCAAGTCCGAGAGAAATGTGCTCGGCACACGTCGGCATGTAGTCGGACTTTAAAACGACACTTGTGATTTTCAAAGTGTGCTATGTACATAGGGGAAAGTGGTAGAGTAGCAGTGTCATGCATGGTATGTGATTCATACCATGTCAGATATATATAGAGAGTGATAAGGAAGATATGAGAGACTGTCTAGCCCTCTGTCACTAAGTTACCTCTCTATTTTTCCTTTATTTCATTGTCTTGTATTTTATTTCTCACTTTACAGGCTTATTTTACCTTGTATTTGTATCAAGCATGTGACCTTCTGTTTATTTCTCATTGTTTATTTTTATTTGGCTTCTTTCAGCCACCAAGTTTTGTATCTCTATTTATTTCTGACTGTTTATTTTTATTTGGCTTCTTTCAGCCACCAGCTTTTATTTGTCATCACATCATGTGACTGGGAAATATTCTGGTTTGTAACATTATTTAAGCTGACTCAACATGTTTAGTCATGATTGGCCATGCTTTGTAACAACATTTAACATGACTCAACATGTTTAGTCATGGTTTGTCATGGTTTGTAATTTCTTTGTAAGATTACACTGTATTTGTAATGTACTTAGTAATAAGCTGGGACTTAAGGACTGGCAAGAAGTCTTCACCGTGTATAATTGTGTTGTCATTATACACAACTTTCATATAAGACCCTTAAGTAACAAGACAGCAGTCCAACATAATTGTATTTCAAATGAAAGCATTAATAAAATTGTAAAAAAAACAAGGCCCATGGGAATGAAATCAGCTGTAGGTAGGGAGCGCGGGAGGGACCACATAAGTGCCAAGCAGAGGAGGAGGGGATGAAAAGTGTCGGGAGGAAGATCTGCATGCCTCCACGAAGATGCAAGATCAAGTGGAGGGTGGACATCCTTCTGGATGTTGTAGTCGACGGCCATCTTCGAGCTGCTTTCCAGCAAAGGTGAGACGTTGCTGGTCAGTTGGGATGCCCTGCTTGTCCTGGATCTTCGCCTTCACGTTGTCGATGGTGTCCGATGACTCCATCTCCAACGTGAAGGTGCCTCCGTGGAGACAGATAAGGAGGCAGAAGG